ATACAGAAAAATTGTTCACATGGAATTAAACCTCGCGTGACACGCGCAGCAAAGGAAGAACACGCGATGTTTCTTGCTCGATCGAGTTTAGGCGTTTTTCCACGCCCTTCGGCAATGCTTGTTACCTTTAGAACGTTCAAGCGGTTTTATGTTATCCCACTTCTAGCTATATTTATATCTGAAGTGACAGGTATTGTAAATGACGGGGAAAGCAGCAGCCCAGAAAGATCGAAGAATCCCGCGAAGAATGTCGACGTCTTTAGAAAACATTAGGTCCCAGGTCTTTGTACTTTTACTGTGCTAGAACATTCGAGGGACATTGCATTCCTTTTCAAAAAACATAATTTTGTTTAATAAAAATCAACTGAGCAGATATTATTTCAAGCATCCTTCGACACGTTTTGTTCAAAATTGTAGTGCTTGCTTTGTTGTACACTCAAAAAACTGGTGTTTTCTGTTTATTTTCAGTTTTTGGCCAAGAATCACCAACTTCTGGTCCCTTTAAAAGTAAGTAACGCAGACGTGAGATCAGCGCGAGAAACGGTTATGGTCTCTGAGCCATACCTCCGGAAATTTAGCGAGACTGTAGAGATATTCTGTTTACATTAATTATGGGGATTGTTAAGTTCTGTACATTAAAACTATCAACAGAAGAAAAAAAAATTGGACTGGTTACAATACCAGAGGATAAATTAAATTTTAATTTTAAAATTTGGCCGCGGGTTTTTTTTATCCCTGGGCACAACATTTAACGATCAAATTGATACAAGTTCAATTTGGAGGAGAAGGGGTTGGGCAGACACTCTTAGCTATCAAGAAAACAGGAGTAGTGAGTTTTACTTAAAGTGTTCTATGGCATCCTGAGCATGAGGCTAACGCACTTATTGTTGGACCCAGTAGTGTGGTATTCAATGTTTTATCATCTTTGTTATCTTAGCCCTGTCCGTCGAATGTACTCACGAGTATATGATGGTAGTGTTGGAGCATCATCCCAATCATACCGATCTGGACATGGACAAAATCACTCTGAAGGACGTAAGCTGTACCCTTAATGACCTGGGAGAATTCAATGCAACCCATCTGTGGATGAAAGCTCCGCTTGATGGCTGCATGACAGAACACAACACAACTGAGGACACCATCACATACTTGAACAGTATCGTTGCCGAGACAAGAGCCTCTGCAGGTAGCGTTCTGATTTCCAGGGAGTTTCAGGCAGAGTTCCCGTTCAAGTGCAGCTATCCACGCTCCGCTATCATGTCTGTCGCCAGCTTCTCCCCTCGGGAAAAAGTTATCTACACAAGGACAGGTAAGGGAGAGGTCTGGGTACTTTTTTCTCCCCAGGTCTTCCGCGGCTAGATTAACATCCACTGTCAGTCGCCTGTTAGGCTTTCTTCAAGGCCCTCAGGACCAAACCATTAGGCAAATTCAAGAGGGACAAGACTCGGAAACATTTAAGTTAAACCGAATTTTGAATGTTTTTTTTCCTATCTGCAGCTCAATTCGGCAACTTTACCTTTACGATGGACATGTACGAGACGGATCAATATTTGAAACCATATGACAGCTACCCGGTGAAAAAGAACCTTCAGGAAAAGATGTACCTCGAGGTGAAAGTCACGTCCAATGATTCCAAATTGGTGCTGATTCCTGAGAGATGTTGGGCCACGCCCAGTGATGACCCAAACGATGGAAAATTCTTTGCTTTTATCGAAAAGGGGTAAGAGGCTCTAAAGATCGTCCAAGAAAAAATAAAAATAAAAATTACGAAATGAAACGTTAATGCGACTTCATCAAATTGCTTTTCAAAAAAAACCTTGGTTTCTTGATTGTTTGAAACATGACATGCTTGAGAGAGAGACTTTAGATCAATGTCAGTATCTGAGAAACTGCAAGCTCACCCTACCCTAGTATAACCTAAAAGTTCTCTGGACGCGACCTGGAAAGGAAAGGGAAATGCCATTGTTTTTTGCGTAGTTTGACCCTAACCAGTTGGCTGAAAAACGCTCTTTCGGATTTTTCTTTTTTACACGAAACTAAGCCGAGGAGCAATCACTGAGAAGAATCCTTCTTTGAGGTTTCATTAGACGGACATGGGTCAGCTGTGATATCTCCATAAATTTATCGGTATTTCTGGTATCACGATCGAAATTCCCGTTATGTCGTACTTCTGTATCTAATCCGTGTCACGAAATCATCGGAAGTCCTTACACTTGTACATGCACTTACATCTATACTCTACGTTCTAATTTTCCTGTGTTGTAACTTCGGTTCTATCCAGTTGCCGTGAAGACGAAACATTGGTGTTTAATTACAAGGAAAATGCAGTTCAACGCTTCACCTTAGACGCTTTCCGCTTCTTAGGGGAGAGCTCAGGGTCCACTGTTTACCTTCACTGCGCTGTGGAGGCCTGCCGTAAGGGAAACAACGAGTCACGTTGTGCCGAGGGATGCCGCGAGGACAACTCCAGGAAGAGGCGTGGCCTGGAATTGGATAGCATTGGAGAGCAGACTGTTAGCATTGGACCATTGACCGCTGAAGATATTCAACCACAAGAACAAGGTTAGTGTGCGCGCGCGTGCGTGCGTACGCGTGTGTTCACGTACGTATGTGTGCGTGTGCTTTACATATTGCGCGAACGTGAGATTTGTGATTGCGTGAGTGAGTGGCAATAATATGCATGGACAGCAAACATCTCGTTAAATCGCCAGCGTGCGAGAGTGTTATCGTGGGCAAGTAAATGGTTTTGACCCGGTCGTAAGCTTGTTTTTTTTTTCTCGCCCACGAAGCAAAATCTCGCTATAAAAAGTAAATTCCTAACATGTTTGGTTTCATTCACTTCACAGCTCAAGAATCTGGAAGTTCGCTGACCGTTATTGCCGCGGTCGCTGGTGTCTTGGGCGTGGTCGTGTTGGCGCTTATCACGGCTCTGGTTGTGTTGTACAAGCGTTTTCATTCACCCCAACAGGCTGGTCGAGTCGTATACACTACGGCTTCCAATGATGAAAGCAAGATGCTTGTGTGAGAGAGAATGGGTTGACGTAACGTGGCACACTAAAGGAAAGTCTTTCGCCTTTCACCCCTTCCTTTTGTTAGCCTGTGCAGCAAATAACACTTTCGATGATTTTTTTATTCTTTTTAGTTTTTATCGAAAAATTTTTTTTTATCACTCGAGCTTTTAAATGATAAGTTCTAACTTTGAGAACCTTTGAAAAGCTCTCAAAACCTCGATCGTTTGGTCTTCATTTACACTTTTGTACTAAGGCAATAAATTTTGCATTGAAAGATGGTGTGCGAACAAGAAGTCGTTTCAGTAAAATAATTTTTTTCCATTCAACTGTTTTTTATACAGAAACAAATCAATTAATCGGTGACACTTTTATCGAAAGTTTCTAACAAAATGTTTGCGGTGATGAATTGCTCAAGCGTTTTTGCATGTTGGCGTTTAAGGTTTGACTAAGTTTGATTAATCTATGCAGACTTGCTACCAGTCGTTACGCAATAAAGATTTGACGAGTTGGCTCTGAGACTAGAGAACGCTTTCCCAGCATTCCTTTCGTACTTCCTTGTTCCTCCTCAGCCCTCTATCTCTTTTCCTAGGCGTGTAAGAAGGAAGGGATTGGGCGCAAGTCTAATATGTTGATCAATCGTTGCTGTTTTTCCTTATTTTCAAGGAAATGAAGCGAAACAAGCATGCTTAGAATTCTAGCAAAAGGGTGCGACACAAACAGAACGACTATATCACGTTGTTACCGCTTTTAAAGCAAGCTCAACAGAGTGAAGAAATTTATACACTCTTCTCGATTTTCGCTGGAAAAGGGACCAATAGAATCATTCTATTCAATTAAGAAATAATCAGATTGAGGGGTAGCTTGTATATGTAACTTTGTTTTTTATGAAGATTTTCCATCGAGCAGAATCTTAGCGTTGCAGGCTAAGAAGCGTTACTTTTTGTTATCCTAGCTTTTAATTCCATTTTTAAAAAATCAAGTTAGCAATAATGTGCCACTGTAAGAAAGTCTTTCTTTCCTATTAAAAATGCATGAAAAAATACAGGCTTGTGAATTACGAACCTATTTTGAAGTGTTCAAAGTCGGTGGTAACGGTGGTTTCGTCATAGTCTGCAGAGTTGTGGCTGTCATCTGATTTTTACGGCAGCGAAAGGCTGAGGAGAGAAAAAAAATTTTACCAAGGGGGTAAAGGAAGTAGAGGTGAAGGGTGGTGCCTTTTCCTGCCCCCCCCCCCCCCCCCTTACCGTCCACTCTAACTCTGTATCAAACATGGTCGTTCGGAATGAACAAGCGCGAGCTTTTATCTTTAATCCACCAGAATAAAACCCCTGCACTGCAAGGTAACTTCGTCACCGGAATTTTCTTAATAAATTAAAAAGTATTGCACTGCACATGCTAATAATTCTGCGCTTGATTACCGCCATTTTTGTTACCAGTCTCCCCTCTTTTTAGGGCATGTGGTCTTAATGGCGAGTGGCTCCGGGGACGAGAACGGAGGAAATTGCGGTCTTTTCATGGAACCTGTATTGATTAGTTGCAAACAAGATTAAGTGACTATCATTTCCCTTTTTTTCTTTAATCCGGGAATAAGCACCTCAATGCCGAATAAAGGTCATAAAAAATAATCAGAGACGTAAGCCAAGACGTTTTCGTGTTTTAAATCTTCGAGTACCGCACAGCTAGCCTTCGATCAGGCTTCATGAGCATCTTTAGAAGCCTCCAGAGGTCTGTGAGCCGTCTGACTCATTTCTCGTGCCAGATCCCTAAAAACCTCCTACTACCGAGCAAAGAGGGCAAGCTAGACTTTCGCAGACTTAACGCGAAGCCCGCGATACTCTCGTGCTGCAGCACCAACGAAATCGTTCTCGCAGGCGCTACTACACGACATTCAACGTGCAAAGTTTGACAAGGTTCTTTCTCAGAGCAATGCCTTAAATAACCCGAAAAAAAAAAGAAAAACAGAGACAAAAATCATGATTCAGTATTTGCAATTTATTTAGCTACCTCATTACGTTTGATTTAAGCTTTAAAAAGCACATAAATACTATTTCCGTCAAAAAGAACTTCATTCCCCAAGATTCAAATAATACAATAAATACATATTAGTGATAATATTACAACAGTTGTACAATCCTTTGATATATTGTCTCTTCAGTGTCTTTAAATAAATATTTCCTTATAAATAAAAGATGTCTACCTACGACGTGGAATGCTTGAACAAAGAACCATTCTCGTCCATATTTCCACTACCAAAGACTTTGGTGAAGTGAAAAGTGAAATTATATAAGATACTAGTTTAATACATAACTATATCGGTCAAACCGTCGTTGAAAACCCAACGCTACTTAAATGAAATTCTCTATTTTACTTAAATTAATCTTCCTTTTTACTGGTTATCTACTCTTGAAAATGTGCCATTTGATATTCAGTACTATTTGATTTGTCACACATTACTCTTGCGTTATGCACCGTTTCGACCCGGTGAGCATAAGACCGTCACGCGACATAAGACCCTATGTCACGCGACTATTGAGCCCTTACACAGGTTTGGTCCTTGCCCGCGGAACTATTTTGTCACGCTACGTTTCTGATCAGGAAATAGTTGTGTGACGAACCATAGAACTGCTGCCGACAAGACTAAACTTAGACATTTGCTCATAATGTAAAAAACGAAAAAGGATTGAAAACTGAAAAATTATATACCTAACACTGATCTTTCTGCAGTCCTTATATTTAAAGAACAGCACAGGGCTAGAGAATCAAACCTCTGACTTCCAGAAGTGACTAAAATACAGCTTCTCCTTACAATGTCTATTCATTATGAAAACAACAGGTGATGAGAATTGACATGCGCATCAGTAGGAATGAGTCACCTTCATATAGCACCACATTCCCCTACCAATTTTTCATGGCAATGTGTACTGAGCAGCTCGTAAGGAGAATTTCTTACCAGATCAGGGAAGTCAAAGGATCAACCTTATATGAAACAAGGCAACCAGTTAGGTCAAACAGTGAAGTTAAGACATCGGTGGTTATTCATTGACTAATAAAATGACGCAATAGCCATAACTGAATGACTTGCACATAACAGTGGTTCGTTTATATTCGCTTCGGATCTTTTTTTCAATCAGGCGGTAAATTTAAAGAGGCAATTTTACCACGGCGTGTTCAATGATGAAAAGTTTTTTTTCATCCAAAGTTATTTTTCCTTCTGAATATTAGTTCGTGGTTCCTATAAGCACGTCTCTTTAGATTGTTCTTAATTGAGAGAAAAATTAAGCTCAAGTTCCTTACCTAACTTTTTTACTTACGTAAAAACTAGTCACATGATCCTCGTCTGTGTCACCCTGTGATCAATCAACTGAAAGTCTGGGGCGAGGTCGGCTCTTGTCCAACTTAGTCTTAAAATTGTTCATAATTTAACTATAAATGTAACTGATTCTCGGTCTACTTCGCCCATAAAGCGTTTCCGTGGTAAAAAACATTTCACATATCGTCTGTTTATTCATCAAGCATGAACATTTCAACTCCGAGTGAACTTTTACTCCAAACAGAATTCCCAGAATTCCACAGTGGACGCCCCAAGCTTAATCCATGTCATACAGATGTCAAACTCATACATAGTCTCCCTCCTCGTCCATGTTATGCGCGTGACCTGGTGGCGGGATGATAGTGGGCATCGGTGACGTCATGCGCATAGGACTGGGCACGCCCGGATCCCTAGGGGAAGGACCTGGGGACTTTTTTGGCGATCCACCACCGAGTGGGGAGGAAGATGATGGAAGGGGTGGATCACACATGGATGACGTAGAAAACAGTTTATACCAACTAATAACAAGATTACTAAGGTCCAACTCGTCGAGTAAAATCTGTACAACGCCCATGAAGACTTTTCTGTCCATGCGTCCGTAATCTCCCCACACAATAACCTGCAACAGAGAAGAACATATGAGTCAAGTAAATCTTTCAATAATAAGACTTTTAACATGTTAAAATAACTAGATTAATGGATCTTAAAATGCACCGGTAAGGTTTGACGCGTGACTCGCTGCGTACTCCATTGCCAGTTAGCAATGAAAACGAAAAAATCGTACCCTGAAACACACAAAAAAGAAACACTCATTTCACTTACCTGAAGTGTCTTTCCAGTGAATTCTACCTTGAACTCGAGTTGTTGTTGATATAACGGTTCTAACGTTCTTCTTGCGGTTCTGGTTTTCTTTTTAATTAAGCAGCGTTTACCGTCCATGACATATACTTTAACATAAGGCGCTGGAATCAGAAGAAAAAAAAAGCAGATTATTGGTGCTCACAAATGAAAGCTAGTGTGCGAGTGGAGACTCATTATCAGTGCAGCAGGACGCACCTTTCTCCGCCGTCGGGAAGATTGAGACGATTCGAGAAGTTTGCCGGGGGTCTGGTACTTATCAGTGCCAGACCCCTTACAGACCTCTCACCAGCTCGCTTCGCTCATAACTCATTTTCTCGCGGGCGAGGAAAGCCGAAGCGCTTATAATGAGCGCATGCTCGCAAGCTATATTAAAGCTAAACGGCACAAGAAGATGAAGACTAGACGAAGCAGTGTTAACAACTGATGGAAATACCGTGTATAAATAAAGTTATCTTATCTCTTATCTTATCTCTTATCTAGTGTGATGATAAACGGAGACACCTCAGCTTTGTGTTATTATTTCATTGCAAAAGGAAAAAAAAAGAACTTGCTATCGACGAATTAACAAGACCTTGTCGACAGAAGTAAACGAAGGGAATTCGACAGCAGCTAAAAGACCTTTCCGCAAAGAGAGAAAAGAGAATTGGTCCGCTATCCTCCACACCTCCGCCATGTTTTTGATCGTTTTTGTTGCATTGTGGTCTCAAACTATAGATTAACGAACTGACGAAGAAAGCGTTCTCAGTTAAGACCAAAATTCGCATGCCCTCCCCCTCCCCCCCCCCCCCGACCTCCGTTTTCCAGGCCTGGTTCCAAGCGAAGTAAATGTTGACATTCCAGCCAAAAACGAAGTGTTTACCTGGTAGAATCTTCGAGCCCGGTTTCGGTAGCAATCCCTTGGCTCTGATGACCTCGACCTCTAACACTCCTCGCCTGTTGTAGAGCGCCAATTGGATGTCTCCCATGGAGGGTGATGCGAGAACCTGGCGCCCAACAATCTGCGCTGGACCTAAGCCATCGATAAAATCATTCAGGTGACCCTCGTTTCCAAGTTTTATTCCGGGCGGAACCCAAGGACTGAGGAGAGACAAAAGATTAGCTCGGTCAGTCAAATGCGAAAACTCTTGTAAAAGAGGATAGGTTTCTATGGAAACAATAGAGGCGAAGGTAGTACAGGAGGCCATTTGCTAATCCTTCCATCAAAAGAATCACCAAAGATCACTGTTGTCGACTGAAAATACCGACGTTGAATTCGCATCAAAATGAGAAACAGCTGGGATCATTTCCAAGGAAACAAAAACGTGTGAAAGCTATGTTCCATCTAAAAAAAGATATTGTATAATAACGAAACAGTTTTTTGCAACCTTTAGTTTAACTGTTAAACTGATCACGATAGCTTCCGTCAAAAAGGTCTTGGATTATCTAAACGCCTTCATTTCAAGATCTGAAGGCAAACTGATAACTATAGGTTTCTTGGTTAGCTATTTCTGAGAATATAGTTCGTTATCAAGCAAACATCTGTTATTAGCTCGGCAAAGCGATAGGAGGTGCTTTCCGTTGCTTTAAAATAATTGCTGTAGATTTATCATTACAACAATCGATAAGTTTTTGACCAATCAGGGCGCACGTAAAATCTCTTTGATTTAAAAAAAAATCCCTTGTCATTTTCAGAAGTTTGATAGTGAATCCAAATTGTCGGGAGAATTTCGAAACTGATCGTCGACCATGTTAAAACCATACTAGTACCGTCAATTGAGTGAAGGAAAAACATACATTTCCACCAATAAAACCCCTTTTCAATGACAATTACGAGACAGCCTTGACAATTTGAAACTATGTTGGATATATACTTTGCTAAAATATTATTTGCCGACGTTGTTGGGCTGTTGTCTAAACAAAAACGCATTATAATTAAAAGTAAATTTTCATCTTTAAGACCCCTGCCGTACTGGCAAACATTTGTCTTTACTTTGAAGAATATCGTCTTTCATTTATTTCCGAAAACCATCTAATACTGCAATCCTTCATAATTTAAACTGATTCTCGATCGCACAAGGGTTGTGGTGTAAGACCGTATTTGTAACTCGAGATTAATCAGCGTTGTGTGTGTAATTAAAGAACAGTGTTATGAGTTAAGTGGACATGGCATTTTGTATCTATTTTTGTGTTGCTGTGATACGAGGACCGGTTTGTCTTCCTCGTCATGTTTCAAACGAACCGAATAACACTTCGGTTTCTTGTACCGCAGTTCACAACATTTTAACTAAGGAGCTTTCTAACCCCGTAAATCGGGAAAATTTTTGGATCTTCTTCCTTTCGAAGTGACACAGTTCCAACAGAGCATTTGGACCAGAACAAACAGCGATAAACTCGTGAATTCATTAACAAATCGATCTGTTTCAGCACAAAAAGTGTTCACTTAAAGAGTTACTCATTCACGTATCTTGTTTGAAATTCGTTTTCAACGATAGAAGTCTTTCTCGTTCTATTTAGCCTTAAAACCATTGCTTGGCATCTCGAAAATACTACGGCAATTTTCAAACGATGAAAATGGTAATAAATTTAGAGAAATTATTCTTCCAATTCGCAGAGGATAAACCGATACATTTCGAATACTCGGCGGTAAACCCTTTCAATAATATTGTAAAACCACGCCTTGAAACATCGAAAATATGACAAGAGTAGGATACATGAAAGATACATTGGCATAATAACCGCCGCGCACAACAAACTTCCGCTCTAGTTAACCTCACAGTACCAAAGATTATCGCTTAAAAAGGTACCAACAGTTTTGGCGTTCGCCGGTTAATAGGTGTGGTCTAACTTCGCTCTGATTTTTAAAACTTTGTCTGTCTTGGTAAAATCCACTACGAGTGTTCCTTATTTGTTTATGCAAAAGTCTGAAATTTTACGTAGTGGCTGGCAAATAGCGAAAATTTAGGACCGTCAATGAATTAACGTTCACTAATTTAGACACTCGAGAGTAATTCCTTAAAGGCTGCGATTGCAACCGAGCGGTGCTGAAATACACGGCATAAATACACAAAACATCACCCTGCAAATATTAGAGAAAATGTTTTGGCTACAGTGACTACTGAACAGAGTGAACTCACCTTTCTCTATTTGCTCTAACAACCTGACCAACCACCTCAAAAAATTTCGTCATTTCAGCCTGAAATTCTCCCACAATAACGACTTACCGCTGTGTTATGTCACTTAAACGCATCTTAGGGTTGTCGCGCAATGAGAATCAGTGATAATGTCATGTTACAAAAATGAATTGTCACTCTAGCCGTGAACAAGCCGTTAAGATGGTTAAAAGGCGATAACTAATAAATAAATCATTAACACGATAATATATGCATTATTTACATATACAATCCATTGTGTATTAATTATTCATATGCCAGAAATGCCTTAGATAGATCAAACCTGGGATTTAAAAAGGAAATGCATTTACTCGAGTATCAGTTAGTGATGACCTTCGTGGCAGAAAGTATTACATTTTATCTGCTCCACGCAAGGCAGCATAGGAAAAAACATCACAATTAAGCGAAGAACATAAATAAGCAATGGCTAGCGACTCAGTATTGCATTAAAACCTACTTCAAAACTCTCTGTGAAGTGAAGTGAAGCCGCCTTATTGCCGCGCTTCATTTGCGTACATTTCTTAAAATCTTGGTATTATTTCCACTGAGAATTTGCTAACTTTAAGACCTATTTCGTTTGTTTACTTAAATCTTGACAGAAAAGCACCAAAATAGCATTTGCAAGCAAATAAACAGGCTGACTCACTCTATCTTTGATTACTAAAGCAATAAGAAAAAGGAAAAAAAGGAAAAATCAAGGCAAATTATCTACAAATAAAATTTAAAAAGTATCACAGTGCAACTGAGAACAGAAATGAGCACGATTGACTTCACGAGTAACTCCTTTTTTTTTTAAAGAGAAATTGAGTAAAATTCTCAAAAATTACACGCAAAATTCGAGAAAGGATCAATAATAAAACAAATTACGTGAAGTACCTCACAGGAGCCCACAAATGTGTTGCAACCGTTTGAAAAACTCGCTCGATCGAAGACATGAGTTAACACGACTCGCTTCCTCCAAGCAGAAAACTAAATGGTTTTCAAAGTAATATTTAGCAAGCGTCTGTGAAGAACAGACTGATCAATTGAAAATTTCTAAAATAAAACAGCTGGCAATCGTACCAAACAAACCACCAATACTGTAACAATTAATTTGAATATTTCAATTTTCCAAGGAGTAACTATAGACACCACAATGTCCAACTGGTATTTGAAACTCACCTTTTCAATCAATCATTTCACTCCGACCGCCATCGAGCGCTAAATTTCTTTGAGATTTTTCTCTCAGTTAGTGTTTGCAAAAATTGGTCTTAGAGTTGCTTTGCGCCCTTCAAGCAAAAGCTCGTTAAAAGTGCGTTTTTTTATTATTTTCAACTAAAGGCTTCGCTACCTTGAAGGGCCGGCTAAATTTGAAGAGCGCGTTGAATAATTCTTTCACAATAAACCCGCTTACAAATGAATTTTAATATGTTTTTTGGGTTTGCAGAATGGGCGTTAATCATCTCACACAATCCTGGTCAACGTTTGGAAATGTTTCTGTAAAATCCTGCGATTTTTAACCGAAAAAAAGTACACTTACAGTTGTAATTTCAGAATTGAAACACCGAAATATGAAAAAACCCATTAAAAAGTCCTTAATCAGTACTGTTTTCAAGTTCAACACTGTTTTCAATAAAAACTACGAAACTGTTTTCAATCAACAGCTTTCACTTGGTTGTGAATTCAATCAACTATATTAAAAAACGCTTTCAAGTAATGAAATTAAACCTGGAACATAACAGATTTGTGGTGCCTTTGATCCAACTTATCCAGAAAAAAACAAAGCTCTACAACCCAACAAAAAGAAATTGAAAACTTTTCCGACAAAAACTACACCTCACGGGCCCTCCAGAAATTTCAGCAGTGCTCATTGTAAGAGGTTGATCCAGTTTTCAAGCTTACAATGAAACAGCTATTCCGTATGCTTTCATTATGGACATTTGTTATAACGCTAAAGAAAAAGTTGTTGATTTGGTTTTTGTAATTACCGGCGTTTTTCATGGTAGCCTTCAAATAAAAACAAATAATGACCAATTGGAAGCACACAGTTGAATATGCGGGCTTCTTTTTACACCAAATCAATTTCGTCCACTTCAGGTGTTAAGTGAAAACCATGCACTCACAAATTGTACCTTGATTTTCTCATTCGTTATTTATTACTACCGTAAAGAGCTGACGAGTTTAAAATTTAATGAAAAAGAAATTATATCACCTGATAAAGCGAGTGACTGAAAAACAACATAGCCAAAAAAATGGAATTTCCTTCTTTTAAGAAAAAAATTATCACACAGATTTTCAAGTTTGACCTATCTTATGGAAATCAGTAAGAATTTTAAGAAAGATATAAAATATTTATAGCGTGCGTGGGAGAGAGAAAAACCTGTGTCCGTCTTAAGTTAAAAAAAGATATAACTAGGCTAAAATCACGAAAATGGCACAACCCGAGCCTGCAGACATAAGTCAGTGGCACTTACCTACTCTCGACACTAGTAACCGAGCCTGGTATACTGTTCAAGCTTCCGCTCCTGTCACTTGCTATAGATGACGACCGACTGCTCCTCCCACTTCCACCGAAGCTCTCGCTACGTCCCGTCCCGCGGGATGGCTTGATGTAACCGCCTGTAGGGAAGACATGAAGATTATTTAGACTGCCGGAACGAGCTTCTTCACGAGCCAGCAGTTTGCCTGTGGAGGAGAGGAGTGAGGAAAAACTTGTCAGTATATTTACATTACAAAGTGGTACAAAGATACATAGAAATATTATTACGCCAAAAGCAAGGAAGGAAAAGTCAAAGTATAGAAGACTGAACTCACCTTTAACTCAGCAAGAACGGTTAGTGTTAGCATTTGAAGCAAAAAGAAGATTGTTTGATCAATATCTCTGCACTGACCAAGATATTAAACGTTACATGTAGAGATACATATAGAAGCAGAAACAGAGACAAGCCAAGAGAAATGTGACTGAACCCCCTCAAAGCTGACCGTGGCATATTTACACTGAGAAGTTTTCACTGCATAACTTTTCCCTGGCAGCTTATGTGGGAAAATATGACTAGTCTTCCTTCCCAAAGTCCTCTTATCCTCTATCAAGTCATTTTTGAACAAGGAGGTTTGTCCAGAAAAAAAAACTTGCTAGGGACGAAATATGCTGGAGTAGGTGACTTGCGAAGTACTCTGAATTAAGACATTTTGGAGGTTTCATGGTAATTCCACACATGTGAATTAAATCTAGCAAGCGTCGTTGGTAAGGTTTCGTGCTGTAGTATTGGCAAAACATTTTTCGACAAATGCGTTCATGTACTGATTAGGCATAGCATGACAAAAGACAAACTGAGAATTTTTCGCTTTAACGGCAACTCACCGTTTGGGAGCCCGCGATCTTTATCATGTAAGCTTGAGCTGCTCTGACTTCTGCCATGACCGAGAGGGACTGGACTTGGGATTGGAAATGGACTTCTAGGCCTCTCGCCTTCCGAATCAAGGTTTGGCAAGTTGCTTAAACTGTTGCGGCGCCGTCTTCCGTCTTCTGTCGACAAGAACGAATGAAAATATGTAGAAAGCTAGCTTCCTCTCGCCAACAGCGCGCGTGTTTTCAGGGGAGCGCGTGAGAAGAAGGAAACACGCATGTAGAGCGAGCACATTTGTTCTCACGCGCGTGTGGAAGTAAGACGTACGTGGAGGGAAAGGTCGTTGTCCTCATTCGATAGTTTTTCTTTTCTTTTTCTACTGAAACTCAGATACTCATCGATATACAGAGCATAACGATTTTCATCATCTGAAAATGTAAGCGAAGTAGGACCATTGGCTGCAAAGTGGTACTTTTTGATAGCGGATGTTTAGCAGGTGAGGAAAAACAACGAAAAAAAATGAACGTCGGCATTGAAAATCAACTGTGAAAGGTAGGTGGGGCTACCACATGTATAATATCTAGATTCTTGTCAGCATCATGATTCATTTAAGTTCACGTTTAAGGTTAGGAATTCTCCACGTTTAACATTTACTTTATCCCAGAAACGTAGTTGATCAAAATAAAAAATAGCTTGCGACCACGCCCTCGTTATTAGCGCCGCAGAACGCGCCTTTTCCCGCTCGCGAGAAGATTTGAGTTGAGTCGCAGAGAGGTTTCTGGGGGTCTGGCACTAAAAGTGCCAGTGCCAGACCCCGTGCAGACTTCTCACCGCTTTGCTCAAAGCCTCATACTTTCCAACGAGCGTAGAAACGCACGTGCTGAAGCGCTGATAATTTGCGCATGCTCGTAAGCTAAAAAGAGAGCAAAGTTGAGTTTATAGTACAGGGACCGGTAGTTCGAAAGGTGGATACCGCTGTCCACTGGATAAATCTTTATCCGGTTGATAGCGCAGTATTTCTTGTTAACACTTATCCGCTGGATAGTGTTATTTGCTTTTTGAACGACTGGTCGAGTGCTTATGCCCTGGTAAGGGCGACGGACTCCCCGTTCTGGCCATGGGCCTCGGAGACTGGACCCAGAATTTTCATGTGTGACCAGGCCTGGTTAACAAGTTTATATTGCTATTTCATTGCTTAACGTGTAAGCAAAGTTAAGATGACAAACAATGTCAATGGTTTAGAATTGTTTTATGTTTGATGTTTGAGTGATTAATGAATGAACTCACGGGGTCGTCTGTGACTTTCATACGGTACTCCATGGTCATGCGGTGGCATATCAGGTGAATACATGCGGTCTACAATAGCAATATAGCATGATTAGAATTTAAAACAGGCGATCTCCTGTTCGAGCACTAGAAAGCAAAAGTTACCACTGAAAATTTAGATCTCTGTTATTTTTCCCTTATTTCTAAACATAACACATTAAAAAAATGAAACTTAGCAATACACTTTCAGATTATCAAAGAATTTTATCTACAACGTCTGAGTGGCAATGGCTTGCAAAATTTAAAAACTGATGCTGGATGTTTAACGTCTCCTACGTTCCTCTTTTAAGGGATCTCCCTAAACACTTTTGGTGAAACTTAAACACAATTTGACTCTTTGGAGTTTATTTTCAATTTTTTTTTCTTTCGTATGTAATTGTCGTTATATTGAGTTGAGAAGTATACGAATCAAGTCAAGCTGCTTAAATTCGCATTAGAATTTACTTAATTAACTAATTAATAAATTAATTATAATTTTTATACTATGAGTCATTCACTTCACTAAACTTAATGATATTAATTTATATTAATTTATTCGCGAGATTTAAGTATTACATCAGCTAATGTTACCTTGAGGAGTATGTGGCCCCTGATGATGCGGGGGCATCCCCAAAGAATGCTTATGCCCTGGTAAGGGCGACGGACTCCCCGTTCGGGCCATGGGTCTCGGAGACTGGCGCCCAGGTCGCGGGGACATGCCCGGATCAAACATTCCCTCGTTTTGCGCAAACACGGCGTCTGGGGCCTGGCCATATCCCATCCGGCCTTTAGCGCCGCCAACGACTAGTTTAGCCCTAGCAGGGTCGACATCTTTTAATTTCTGTTTAACAGCTCGGGCCCGCTCTTCTTCGTCTGTGGTTAAAACGGCTTTATCTCAGAAATTACATTTGTTTTAACTTATTAGCTGTGATTATTGGGAAAGTTAACCAGTTGTTTTAAGACTTAAGTTTATGCATTTCTCTCTTGAAGAGGGCATGGTTATAACAATTTTTGAACGAACTTGTGTTGAAAGTATGACATAAGACTCGAGTCAACTGTTGTTAAGAGTATACGCCAAACTCGTTTTCTCTTATCGGTCAACAGTAACATGTATATTTCAACACCATCTCCTGACAACCGAGGTTATGTGTAGTTTGTTGCAAGCCTAAATGTCTTATCAATTGCTGCGGACGGCAAGCATTACAACCAAAACATTCGTGGTTACTTCATGCAAACTTTTCTTTAAGATAGTCAGAGTAGGAATAGTGCTGTATATAGTTTTTCAAGGCAAAATTTCAAGAAAAATTTTTATCCAATACAAGGTTTGAATCACGGAGTGACAGCATAAATTGTTGTGTGGTCGTCCGCTTGCGGGAAATCCAGGAAAGAACAGCTCTCGGTGACAGTGGAAGACGTTTCGAAAACCTAACAATGACCTCGCTCCGGCTGTCGAAACTTTAGTAAAGTTAACTGCCACCGAGAACAGTCTCCTTCAGAGCCACCCGCGCTTGGTCGATCCCAACAGAGTCAGACCGTGTTCAATTACAGTTTCCACAAATAATCTTAAAACTTTTACATATTTATCTTTTAAGGTCAAAGTGCAATGTAGTGTAGCGTAGATATCTGTGCTGTGGAAAAGTGAGTGATGCTTGCTGTGGTGTTTTTCAGTCAGCTTACCCATAGGTTCGCGTCCTGGCGGCAATTGAGGCAACATGCGGGACTTTTTAGCCCCGGGGCCTCCGCTAGGGGACATTCTACCAGGGGAATACGTTCCGGGGGAAATATAACCATGTATACTCGGGGACATGCGATCGTCGTGAAAGCGACCAGGTCCATGTTGGTGATGCATTGGTCTAGTCTGTTGCGCCAGCATTCTGTTGGGGTCAGCGGCATAATGGGGGTAGCTAGAACCTGGCTGAGGAGACTGGGACGGATGATTTGGTGACGTATGGTATGGCTTGGCAGTGTACGCTTCAAGTGAAGTTTATACGAAGATTAGAACATGCAGGAAAACGTTAGGAAACCGAGGACCTTCCTTGCGTTACTTTTGAAGAAACATTTACTATTCTTTCTTTTAAATCGACATACTGCAGTGGTTGATGAACAATCGGACAGTTTACAGCTTGTAAAATTATGGTTAGGTTCGTTTAATTAATTGTGGTACAAAGAGAGAGTTTAATTCAACTTCAGAAAAACGACTTACGTTAATGGCTTGAGTCTGATGGTTTAAAAAATTACTTTTTTAGTTTCTTATTCAAAAAGTTTATTTTCCCAACAAATCTGATCCTGTTCTGGAGAATTCTAAATCATGTTCGTGTTTTGAGCAGTCGAGTCACGATTAACAGTGGGCAGTGCTGCGTTGATTATACGTAAATTACGCGCTTAAATCTCTGTCCTACCTTGCACCATCTGTTGTTGGACGAACGGAGGTCTGGGACTGTCTCGGTGATGATCAATCAACTGTTGCTTCAGCAGGTCATTCTCGGGTGACTGAAACGGAGGCTGGGAACTAGTTACCGGTCCATTTGGAGTATATCTCGACTCTTCCTCGTAATCGCTTCCATAACCGGTCGGACCAGCTGAGGGAGAGGAAAAGAAAATGATTAGTACCGCAGCACATGACAAAAATACGAAAGGAGCTTTCCATATATCTGCGCAATTTTTTGGCCTGCGCTTATTATGTCATACCTTGATCGCTTACTGGCTCCCCAGCTCCTCTCGCTCCTTTAAATCTGAATGAGTTGTGAGGAGACTGGTTAGGAGTGGGCGGCACCAAAGGATCATTGTCGTCTTCGTGGTTCTTGAGTGGGTACCAGTACCCGTTACCGTCGAGGTTTGCCTCAGACATGCTCAAAACAACCTGTGTCGAGATTGAACGACATGAACATGAGGTAATTTATGATTTGAGTTTAGCGCACTTTGTTGAAGTTAACAACGATATGTTTCAGCGAACGAGGACTATAAATTGGACAGACACGAAACACATTTAACTGGTGAGAGAGCAATTAACAATCAAAATACTATCTCATACCTCGCCAATAAACTCGCTTGAGCCAACTTTATCATAATCCCATACGGTCACTTCGAGAGCACGGCCACTGAACTGCAAAGAGAAAAAATAATAATTTCCGTCTAAAATAACCCTTTAAGAAAATGTCTTAGAGGACATCGAACACCCTAAAAGATCTTTGAGGCGTTGAGCTACAGAATCAGTTAACCCTTCAAGCCCTTGGAGTGACTGGAAGCTAACTTCTCCTAACAGTATCAGACCTGAAACACATATTGAGCTCATGAGAACAAAGGAAATAATCACCAACTTAAAAACCTCTTGATTGTTAAACAAATTCTCCTTGTCAGTACTATAGGAAATGTATGGGGAAAGTATGGAGAAGATGCAAACTGATGTCAGGGTAGAAAGGGTTTAAGAATCTCAACTATCTTACAAGAGTAGTTTATTATCATCAACTGAGTTGATAACGTAAATTGGCCACCGTAAAGAGTTTCAAAACTTAAAACAGAACTGGAAAAATTGTTATATGTTTTCCACATGACAACAATTGATGGGGAATTTACCTTCTGTGGCCGGCACGGATAAACAAACGTCTGATTCCATTTGGGATTGAAAGATTTCATCGCTGTCTTTGTTCGTCTTTTGCTCTGCATGCTGCAAAGTGTATACATATACTGTTACTGATGAAATTCGCTGAAAGATATCTCATCAATTTCTCATCAACAGCCAGCAAAAAGCCTTCATTATTGGCACTTCTGCACGAGCGTTTTTTCGCCTGCGGGAAAGTACGAGGTATTCAGTAACGAGAGTCGGCGAGAACTCTGCAAGGGGTTTAGCACTATTAATGCCAAATCCTTTGGCAAATCTCTCCCCGGCTCGACTAAATTATTCCCGGCGACGAAGAAACGCACGTCTTGCAGCGCTAGTAATTTATAAGAGGCTGCCAGAGGCTCCGTCAGTGGCCTGGGCGCAATTCATAAAGGTGCATGACAGAATATGACAGCATATGACTGTGACGGTGTGTTAGGACATTAATTTACCAAAGGTTCCAAACCTCGATATTTTATTACAATAAAGAACGGATGAATGTTATGACAAAATTCATGGATATGGATCGAAGATTCGAAATCTGTAAAGTAATCGGTTAACAAATTGGTTTCAGTTCATATCGATAATATCGAAAGAAATCAAGGTAAATATTTACCCATTGGTTCTAGGTGTCCATAACACTGTCTAGCGATAGAAAATCTTAACAATTATATCTGTTATGTCATCAAATTATAATGCGCAAAGAAATTAGAATATTGCGCAATACACTCCCCGCCGGCAATTACAGACTGTTTAAAGTTTTCGGTAAAAATCATTTCAGAATTACACATAATAGTTCAGAGTTATTATTGCAAAAATGTTTTGAGATAGTTCATTTGTGTTCTGATGCAGGTAGGATAGTTATCAGCTTGTTAACTGGTCGTTCGATAGTTGTAAAGCCTTTCCCTTTGTATTCGGTCACTTTTTCGCCAGGCTTGGGATTTTTATATTCGACGAGGGCTCGTCTGACCTTCCCGTCTTCCCCTTTGTAAACTTTTGATATTTTCCCAAGTTTCCATTGTCCTCTTTTCGCGTTAGAATCTTGGATAAGAACAATGTCATCAATTTCAAGGTTTCTCTGGGCCGTGTGCCATTTTTGTTGGACTAATAAGCTTGGAAAGTAGTCTCGAGTCCATTTCCGCCAAAATGAGTCAGTTAGTTGTTGTATAAGTTCAAAGCGCTGTTTGATGTTGGACGGCTCTTTGAAAGGTCCACTTGGTACTCTTGATGTTGCTCTACCAAGGAGGAGGTCATTGGGACAAAGATAGGTATCATCTGTTGATGTAGGATGTCGGCCGATTGGTCGTTCATTTACAAGATTTGCCGCTTCGTAACAAATGGTTTGTAACTCGGAGAAGGTTAGAACGCTTTCACTAATAGCTAATGTGATTGCTTTTTTCACGGATTTAATAAGTGCTTCCGATACACCGTTTTGCCAGGGGGCATCTGCTGATGAGAACTTCCATTCAAATCCTTCCATTACTCCGAACTCTAATAGCTGTTTCTTATCTAAGTCGTTGATGACTTTCTTTAGCTCGGCTCTTGCTGCTACTAATTGGCTGCCATTGTCAGAATACAATTTGGAAGGGTATCCTCTGATCGATACAAATCTTAGTACCATTAGGAATTTGTCGGTACTGTAATCAGGAGCTATGTCGATATGGACAGCTCTGGTTCCCATGCAGTTGAACAGTACTCCATATCCCTTTCCAAATGTTCTTTTCTTGACTTCGTCTTTAATCTTGAAGGGTCCGAAATAATCAATCGCAGTGGAATTCCACGGGGGTGCGGGTTTCAGCCTCTCTATTGGGAGTTTTCCCATAATTTGTTCTTCTGGTTTTCTTTCAAGCTTTCTACAGATAATGCAGTTGTATTTGATGGATTTGGTTAGTGTCAACAACTTCGTGATCCAAAATCTTGATCTCACCTTGCTGGCCGTCGCGAGGAATCCGAGATGGCCTCTTCTGTAAATATGCTCAGCATAAAGGCGTGAGAGGCGATGTTGATATGGTAGAAGTATTACCTCGGTTTTGTTATAACTCATCTCGATCCATCTCTCACCGCGGCCACCTACGACGTATATGCCATCATCGCGCCTCCTTGGACAAAGTCGTTTGTATTTCCCTTTATCTATGTCACGTTGCATTGATTTTTGAGCTTCATGAATCCAAAATGTTTCTGCCTTCGAGATATCATCTGGTGTGAGCGGTCTTGAGGCATTTTTAAATGTCATCTTGTGTGTCTTATTATACATTGCTAGAATTCGAGCGGTTGTATGGATAAGCTTATTGTAGGTTGAGAACCTATCAATGTTTATTCGTTTTGCCACTGAATCGTTTACAGCTTCATCTGGTTTGGTATGTGTGATTACGTTTGCATGCCGTTGTGTATAAGTACGTGTGATTGGCCATGCAGATTTAGGCAGCTTCAGGAAATCTGGTCCTTTTTGCCACAAAGTGTACATGCCAATTTCATTTGACTTCTTTCCGCGGGTCAGCCAGTCGGCGATGTTATTTTTGCTCTCTGTCCAATACCAGTTTTCGGGATCTGTGTTTTCTTGGATTTCTCCCACCCGAACGGCTGCGAATGTGTTGTAACCATAGTTCTCCTTCTGGATCATGGCATGGACAATCTGCGAGTCTACAATATAGATGATTCTTTCAAACTTGTATCTACAGTGGGATGTTATAGTTGTTTTCAATCTGCTGCTTAGTACAGCTCCGCAAAGTTCGATACGATCGATGGATATTTTCTTTACAGGTGTTAAGCGGTTTTTAGATATGATGAGATGACTATCAAATTCTCCTGTTGTCAGTTTCCATCTAGCATATGCGCATGCGCCATACGCGTTTGTCGACCCGTCAGAGAAAATGATGAGGATAGGATTTCCTACGGTATTAGGAGCTTTCATGCATCTTCTTATTTTCACTTCATTCATTCCTGGCAGATCATCGAAGAAAATCATCCAGTCTTTCGTGTGATCTGATGGTATAGGATCATCCCAGTCGAGGGTGAGGTCACTTATCCATAGTTGTCTCATGAGGATCTTAGCTTTGACAGTAACTGGTCCTGCTAGTCCGAGTGGATCGTATATGCTGTTCACTTGTGACAGGATCTTCCTTTTTGTCAAAGCGTCACAAGCGATGAGCTTGGGATTCTTCTTCTTCATTTTTCCTTGTAAATTTAGCTTGACCTTGAAGCAAAGTTCATCTTGGTTAGTATTCCATTCGACACCAAGGACCTTTTCCGTCGCTGTGTTGGGTGTAACTGGTAGGATTGATTGAACATGGCTTGCGTTATAGGAATACATCCACTCTTTAATCTGAAATCCTCCTGTGATCAGAACTTTCTCCATGTCTGAGGCAAGGTTTTTGGCGTCTTTCAGCGTAGGAACACTTTCGATAAGGTCATCCATGTAGGTGTTATTGATTATTACGTTTGCTGCCTCAGGGTATTGCTGTTTGAGTCGCTCTGCTGTCTTGCGTAATGCCAGTGTCGCTATGGTCCCAGAGGGGCGATCTCCAAAGGAAACCCTTTGCATGATGTATGTATTGGGATGTTGACTTGTATTGAAGTCACGCCATAGGAAGCGATGAGTATGGTGATCAATTTCCTGAGTTCTGACAGTATGATACATCTTCTTTACGTCTCCGATGATGGCGATTTCATTTTCTCTGAATCGTATCAGGATTCCTAGTAATTCGTTCAGTAAGTCTGGACCCTTGGCCCAATACTCATTTAGGACGTGTCCCATATAATTCGCACTGCTGTTGAAGACGATTCTCACGGGGGTCGATTTTGAGTCGGGTTTCAGGACTTCGTGGTGAGAAATGTAGTGGATTGGTCCTTTATAGCTTTGTAACTCATCCTGGGAGAGTTTTCTTGCTACACCTCTAGCAATCATATCTTCTATTTGCTTTTGATAGACGTCGGCGTGAGCTTTATTTTTCATGAGTCGCCTTTCAGTTGACATGAGCATGCTGAATGCTACGCGCCTGTTGTCAGGAAGTTCGTAAGGGTCTCTGATCCATGGATACCCGGCAATCCATACCTTATTTTCTTCGTCGTATTTCAAATTCTTGTCGATTAGTGCTAATTCCTTCTCCTCTTTGATGCTGTAGTTTTTACTTCCGACTGAACATTTGCCACATTTGCAGCCTCCACAGCGCGGATTGCAATTGATCCCGAGATTCTCGATGTTATAGAAATCTTCGATTCTTACTGCTCGTACATGATGAGCTCTGATGTTTCTAAGAGGTTGCTCTTCATTCATATTCTTGATTGAAGAATGTGTCCCGCCAAGGCATCTACCGAAACGGTTCTTTAGGAGTAGGAGGTGGTTGACGTTCTTCTCCTTCTGAGGATGATAGTTGGCGTATTCATAGCCTATTAAAACATCGACGGTACCAGTGGGTCGAACAAGATCTTCTTTTGGTATGTTATTGAAGTGTTTTGCAATCCCGTCTATCTTAACGTTCTGGATGTCTGAAGTGATTTTGTCTATCCCGTACACGTCAAAGTAAATCCGATTGCCTTGTAGGTCAAATAGAGGAAGTTTGTACTTGTATGAAATCAGGGCTTCATTCTCTCCTCCAACCTTAACCAGAGATAGCTGAACTTTGGTTCCTCTCAGTTTCTCTGCCTCTGCTTTTGCATGTGTAATAAAGGAAAGGGATGCTCCATTATCCCACAAGACATTAACCCAACCTTTTGGACTTCGTATTTTCTGTATCTGAAGTAAACAGGTGTCAACGTCAGTGCTGTCGCATACACTTGCCGTGCCAGAAAGTGAAGGTGGCGTTTCTTCTTGTTTGGGCGAGGGCTCTTCTTTCTTCTCTTGATGCAGTGTACTGTGATGTGTTCTTTTGCAATTATTGACATTGCAGATTCGTTTGCTTCGACATTGTTGCGAGCGATGTCCACGTCTCAAACACGACCAGCAAGCACCCTTCTCCTTGACAATCTTCTCCTTTTCCTCAATCGGTTTGGAGAGGTATACTCGGCACTCGCTTGTCCAGTGGTTACCATTTTCGTGAATTAGGCATTGTCTTTTTTGTTTGGTATTTCGTTGTTGTTCAACTGGATTGTCATCTTTCTTGTCAGTATGATTCACGGAACCCTTAATTTTTTCACTGCTCAGGCGTAACTCTGCGTTCTGGTATTCAAGAGCTCTCTTCAGGTTCAGTAGAAATCTCAATAGACTTGGAAACTTATCAGTTTTATCAATGGTGCTCGTGTCGTTGCTGACTAATCTCGCCCATTCTTTCATTACGTCAGGGGGTAATCGTTTCTCAATGATGCTGATCGAGCTAGTTGTAGTTATCTCTTTCTCCAATTTTAGGTTGCATAGATCGCGATAGCCTTCTTCAATGACATTGACGAATTGAATGAACTTTTTGTGCTCACCTTCCTTAATACATTTAACATTCTGAATGGAATTGATGATGGCATCAGCGACTTTTGCAGGATCGCCGTATTTGGAGTCTAGTCGCTCCCACATTGCTTGGATGTCGTCGTCTACGCTTTTTACATGAGCAAGGGGTTCCATTCCTAAGCAGGATCTTAGCGTATAAGGTGCGGTATTAATATTCAAATTGGGCATAACTTGTTTTTCGAAGTCTCGTTTGAATTGGGGGTAATCTCTTAACTCGCCATCAAATCTCGGCATTTTGATCTTCTCTAGGTGAATATTGCTAGGTTTCATGGCATCAGTGGTAAGCTTAAGGGTTGCTCCGTCATTGGATTTGATGAAGGTTTTGCTTTCATTTTCATCGACGCGGGTTGCCATTAATTCTGAAATTTCACTGTAGCGTTGTTGAACGTCAAAAATCCACCGCAATTCTCGTTCTGCGGAGTCTTTATCAATGAGCTCGATTAACTTTTCGTGTTTTTGTTTACAGTCGACAAAAGCCTCTTCAAGCTGACTTTGCAAGTTTTTCATGTGCGCCGTTGTAACCTTTTCGTTTTCCATCGTATGGGAAGCATTACCATATAAGGCATCAAAGACTGCGCGTGCAGTGTTCCTTTTGTTGAGGATGCATTCCTTTTCTTTGCTTGCGGATTCATCGCGTTCTTTTTCTGCGCGCGCTCTTGTTTCATTTTCTATGTATTCAAATTTTAAATTTCTCGCGTCCGTGTATAGGTTTTGTAGCTCTTCGAGCCAATTTTCTGCTGTGTTCATCTCGTCATCCTTCAGGAGCTCTATATAGGCGTTGTGTTTACCTTCTAATTCCTTCCATGCTTTGACGAGCTCAGCATAATCGTCTTCAATCACATCTGCTATTCTTCTGTCGCGGACAGATCTCAGCAGCTCATTCCTTTTCCTTGTGAAGATTGTTCTGGCATTCTTCCGGTCTGTTTTCGCTTTTTCTGGATCCATTATCTTCGTGTTCACGTCTCAATGGATTTCGAATGTGACGGTGTGTTAGGACATTAATTTACCAAAGGTTCCAAACCTCGATATTTTATTACAATAAAGAACGGATGAATGTTATGACAAAATTCATGGATATGGATCGAAGATTCGAAATCTGTAAAGTAATCGGTTAACAAATTGGTTTCAGTTCATATCGATAATATCGAAAGAAATCAAGGTAAATATTTACCCATTGGTTCTAGGTGTCCATAACACTGTCTAGCGATAGAAAATCTTAACAATTATATCTGTTATGTCATCAAATTATAATGCGCAAAGAAATTAGAATATTGCGCAATACAATGACAGCATACCTCTTATCAGGAAGAAAGTAAATCCTAATATAAGGGTTAGGTGGTGTGGTGGTCTCTTTAGGAGCCAGGCCTTCAGCTCCCACAACTGTCACGTTCAAGTTCGCAGCATCTTCGTCATAGAACAGTTTCAACTAAAAACAAAAGGATGCAGCGTTATATTCAAAAATTATGGTTGGGAAAAACCGTCGAGAAAGATGTAGACTTGCGTAGGATTACATAGGCTTTCTCCACGAAAAGTCCTAAGTTTTCCTTTTTCCTCTACTTTTGTTTCATTTTCCAGATGTCTAAGAACGTTTCCCTAGCATATCTTTTGCATATTCTGCAAGACAGCGGTTGTTTCTCAAGTTTTCCGCAAAAAAGGAATTTGTGCGGGAAATTGGCGCGAGGCCCTTGGCGCCCTTGATCCCCTTGCGCATGCTCAACGTTTGACCGCTGTGTTGCACTAGACACGGTTTTCCTGACTCGCATCCGCACTAAACAAAAATAGGCCTGCGCTCTTCACAACGACTCCTAAAGCCACGGAACCACACGTACCTGTAGACGACCTGTAACTCTTGCTCCTTTTCCTTGTCCTTGTCCTTGTCCTTGTCCGGCACCAGTTTGTTTCACAGACTTGTTGGATTTTTCATCCGGTAAAGGACCGCCACCAAAGAAAAAATCGTCATCTATAAAAAAAGAGAGACAAAATTGTGCGAAATGTTCTCCAAACATCGACGAAAAAAAAAAACTAGGTGGATCCTGTTATCAACAGTAAGCATGATCAAACAGCTGAAGACTATAAAATAAGGTTTCTCGTGAAAAAGTGCATATCTGCTCATGCGCGAGTTTGTACCCGCCTCATCTTGGCGGGAAAAGTTTTAATGGGATCTCGTTACTGAATAATCAATTTTGTTTTCTACAAAAAAGCCGTCAATGTTTCTTAAAGTTAGAGAATTCTTTTGTTTTTCCAACCAGAAAGGGCTTTATTGTTTTCGATAAAAACAAATACATAAAATGATTGATCCTTTCAACCCCAAGATCTCGAGTAATTCTCCTTACTGTCTGCCATACAATTCTTAAGACGTTAGTGCGGAGAATTTGGTATTCGTCACCAATCCTCAAATTGATATTTTTTTTCATTCTCATCACTTATCTGGTTGATATTGTATTGATATTGTAAGGAGAAGTTCTGTCTTGGTCACTCATGGGAGTGAAAGGGTTAAAGACATAAAATATGGCATGGAATCTACACATTTTTTATTTATTTCACGAAGTACTTGCAGTGAAATCTCGTATCCAATGTTGAATTCGTCTTCGAGTCTCACCGACTCGATTTTCAGAGAAGTAGAAATATAACCAGATTTGAGATTAGTCAAGACTTAGCTGTTAGATTCGCAAAATGAAAGAATTTTACAGGAAAAGACAAGGCGAGGAAAGAATAACTATGTTTCAAACCTGCTGGGGGCTCGTACGAAGACGACTGACTTCTACCAGTAGACATAAGCCCATTCTCCCTCTGTGTTGGTATGACTGTGGTCTCTTCCCTTCTGCTATCCGGTGGCTTTCTGTCCTGTTGAAGTGACATTGGAGCTGCAGATGGGGACATCCGGTCCCTTTTTACGGGGGACTCTCTGGTAGGGACCTGCTTGGGAGATTCCCTCTTTTGTTCTTGTCCCCGTGGTGACTTGTCGGGTGACTGGGAGGTCCTAGCTGGAAATTTACTCCTAGGGGAAAAAATTTCAAGAAAATCCTACCATTTATGAGTCTTCTCAAAAACTCCTTCCCCTCCCAACCAAAAATCATATTTTTATGTAGGGAGGGGAAGGATTTCGTGTTCTTTCAGAATTAAAAAATCCCTCCCTGATCATTTTCCCCATTCTCACTACCGTTCTCCCTGATTATGAAATAACTAGGTAATGAGAATTTATGTGGATTGATCACTCACTTATCTCTACACACGATGAGGTGAAGTTCGTTGCTATCTTGATTGTCCTCCATGGATGAGTTGATAATTTCCACTACTTCCTCAAACGTGCAGTCCACCAAAGACTGTTCATTCCAGTCCTGAATTTCATCACCTGTGTAAGACACCACCTTTAGTTAATAGCAAGGAGCTGGCTACCAGATAGAAAATGCTACCCAGAGAAAACATCAGTTATCGATAGTTTATGAGCATTTCGCGTCGAAAACCGACAGAACGACGAAAGAGGCAAATAGAAGAAGTCGGAGGCCATAGACGAGCTGCCAGACAATCAGACAGAAAGACAGACAAAAACTGTGGTGCTGCGTCGGTGGGAGGGTATAACAGGGTAATATATTATTACCGACGGAGTTGATAACGTAAATTGGCCTCCGTGAAGAGTTAAAAAACTGACGTTTCGAGCGTTAGCCCTTCGCCATTCCCTCTGATGAAGAGCTAACGCTCGAAACGTCAGTTTTCCAACTCTTTACGGTGGCCAATTTACGTTACGAACTCAGTTAATAATACTAAATCACCCAGACAGACAGACAGAAAGACGGACGGACAACATTAAGACTGAAAGACAGGCAAACAGACAGACTGCCAGGCAGACAGGCAGATTGACTGTCTCACATACTACCAGACAGACGGACTGCCAGAAAAAAATGGACAGACAGACTGCAAGACAGATTGGCAGAGAGGAGAGACAGGATAACAGACACACAGATATAACAGACTGAGGCAGGTAGACATTTAAACTAACAGACCAACAGATTGATAAACACAGACAACACGGAAAAAGAATTGTCTGCTTGTCCATCAATTTGTCTATGTCTCTGACAATAAGTCAATTGATTGATCAGTCAGTCCGTAGTCCACAAGACTAATTTTCCTGACATTTGTTCACTTTTTCCATCTGTCTGAATTTCTCTCTTCCAGTCTACCACATAGCAAAAGAACTCAAGTCATTACCAATTTGAAGCTTGGCTTGTCTCTCAGCTGGACCTCCCTTTCGTATCTCAGTGATAAAAGCTCCCAGTTTCCCATCATCTGTCATCTTTCCACCAATCACCTTAAGCCCATATGCACTGTACGGATCTGAAACACCCATCACCCAACATCAGTGCGCATATTCTCTATAATTCTCTCTATACATTTCGTGAGGCGCTAACAAGGAGAATTTGTTTAACAATCAAGAGCTTCTTTGGTGGGTGATCATTCACTTCATTCTTGTGACCTTAATATATGATTCTGGGTTGACACTGTTGGGAGAAATTAGATGCTAGTCACCTCTAGGGATAAAAGGTTGATAAGAAAAAATTCACGTTACCAGTTGATGAGCCCTTGTATTTTGGGTCTATTGTCAGCAGCACTTCGCCTAAACACTTGTTGTCTTCGTCAGGAGCAGACCACTTGACAAAGGTCTGAAAACGGAGAAGGAAAGGATGTCAAATTGATTCTGCTGCAAAAACAGGACTAAAATCTTTCCCACAAGGGTAAAATTAATCTCATGAAGCTGACTTATCTCCATTACCAGCCATTGTTCAGGAAATGAGCCTACACTCTTAGTTCCTTTTCTAGAGGATCAAAGACCAATGAAAGAAGATGTTGGAAATGGAGCCTAGAGGCTGATCTTCCAGGAAACTACTTAGTTAGGTTAACTATACTGGCTTTTTCCTGCCCAAGATTATACCCAGAGTTCTATGGCATGGAGTCACAAGGATTATTGAAACTTCTTCTAGCAAAGGTGTATGTATACAAAAAGCTGAAAGACTGGTCAAGCTAGCAATAAAGACATATGGCTAAACTGGCTGGAGGTTATCCTAGTTTCTGTGGCATGAAGTGACCTGAAGCAGTAATCAGGCTTGTCTGATAGTTCACTAGCACTCATGTATACTCTTGGGTGGAGAGGAGCACTGTGAGAGTTGAGAGTCTTGCCCAAGTCTTGCCCAAGAACACAACTTAATGATCCAGCCAGGACTTGAACCCAGGCTTCTCAACCCAGAGTACAGTGCACTGACCAACAGTCCCCCACTGGGAAGAGTTATAGCAATATCTAATAATACATTTGAACTTCACAACAAAATCTGCTAATATTTCTCTTTTAGTTTGGTTTTTCTCTGTCACTGTTTCCCTTTGTGGATGTGACAAATGTACTTATTAATGAAGCTCACATCAGACTTATCTGCACAAAGCACATCACAGCACTTTCTGCTTACATGTATAAAAAGATATATTTAAAGGCAACCAATTGGTCAAACTGCCATGCATGTAGATAACAGACAATTTTTATAAAAAGATGTCAAATATTCATCAAGCAATTTTTCATGCAACAATCATATGAATTCAAAACTTTTTTGTACTGGACTCAACTCAGTGAAAAAACAAAGAAAGTTCAAAAAATATTCTGATGTCCCACAAATCATTTCATCAAACTAATCCAATTTACCAAAGGAAACCACATGATGGAATTCCTTGCTGTGGAAACCATGTTGTTCAATAATTAGAACTGCAGAAAAATTGAAAACTTAAGTCACAATCATGGCAAGTGAATTTATTGGTCAAGGACATGATGTAACCTCACTGTTTCATTTTTCTGTTTTTTTCATATCTAGTTGTTTATTTTTTGCACAATGTACTGCAAAGTGCAGGGCTTTACCCTCATCATGACAGCCTGGGAGAGAATTTTACTCCACCTCATGCATTACAGAGCTTACTGCCTATAGTAGAGGTAATGAACACATACACTGTACAAAGAGAATGAGCTTCATCAGTTTTATTCCTCATTTGTAGGAATAAAAATGATGAAAACTTGTAAGATGCACATGTACTTGTAACTACACTCCCTGTCAAGCTGATCAGCTAAGAAAAAGATTTTGTGAATTAATCACACATCAGTAGGAGAATAAATTAAATAAAATTCTAATAATTGCCAGAAGCAGATAATTCAACATCAAACCTGCAAGGGGTCTGTGTTGGTCTCAACAGCAGGAATGATTTCAGATTTCTTGACAGAGCTGACAAGGTTACTGACAACAGCAGAAGGTGTCATGGACACAGAAGGAGAAGAAGAAGAAGAGGTGGCAGTAGAGGGAGCAGATTTCTTAATAGAAAGAGCACTGACAAATCTGTCTCCCAAAGACTCTCGATCCTGTATTGAAGGTGGCTCATCTTTAAAGAACAAGTTACTCTGTGGGGAACCGAACAAACAAAAGTCAGCTCAAAGCTTCAAGATCCTCTCAAAAACACTAAAATTTGCATGCTGTATCAGCCACAAAAGAAATTACTGTACATTCAACAAACAATTATTTAAGAGATTATTCCTACCAGAAACATTCTGAAAGAGGATGGAATTAAATCTAATAAACACTGAAATCAGAGCCATCCAACAGAAGTCTGCTGCATTGAAGGTCATAAATAATTCATACTTTCACGTTTTTGAATGTTAATTTGAAGAATAACTTAATTACATGTATTGATAATTTTTTTTTATCATAATCCAGCAAGCTGATCTTGAAAGAATGCCACAGAAAATAAAATATTTATCACAGCAAAGTGATTTAATTTCTTCAAAATTTGCAAACAATTTAGGGGTCAAAATTGAATGAGAAAAATCCTTCAGCTAATGCTTTTCTTGGGTAAAATTTTATCTTCAAAACCAGTACATATTCCTTAAGTGAGGCTCCATAGCTTTCAACAAAAAATAAAACAATTTTGTCTTCTGAAATCAAATTTAAATGTTGTTTGATATGAGAGATACAAGAGTTATTTGCAGAATATCATTTATTAACTCTTGTATTTCATCACAAATAAAATATCTCTGGTTTGGGAAAAATTATTTTTAGTGAAATATAAATTAAGAATAAGGATTTGGCCTAAATTGCTTCTTGAAAGATAAATATTCATGTAAATTTACTGAGAGAGAGTACATTTGTGTACAGAGGAATAAAAACAAGTATAGGTGGCAAGCACAGGATTTTCCTCTCAAAAGTAAATGATGTTTTTATAATAAATGACAAGAAAATTTTGATTCAGAAATATACAAATAAACTTTTGTAATAAATATAGAAATGGATGCAAAACGAGTGTGGACAGGGATTTACTTGAGATGGTAGAAAAACTTTGTATCATGATGACAAATTCTAACCTCACACCAAAAATACTATGAAATAATAACTACAAGATTTTAGAGGATGACGCAAGAAAGCTTTCTAAAAATCAAAGTAACACAAACATTGGTAGATAAACAGCAACTTCTTTATCATGAATTTGATTTTAAGCCAGAGGGTCAGATCCATAATGTATATCTCTGGGTCTAATTTCTATGATGTTTCATAACTTTCCCACAGAGAAAAAAAACAGAACTCCAAATTCTTGTGAAAATATATGTTTAGGAAAGTGACCAGTAAAGTATTTTTCACTTCCTTCTTCTCAGTTGGAGGTGAAATGAAAGCAAAAAATGATAGCTTGAACTCTTCTTGAATGTCACATTTGTTGTGATTATGTTAACTTAACTTTGCAGCCTGCCAAATACAATGAAGAAAACCATTGTACACAGAACATCTGCATCTTATTGAAACTTTGCTATTGTGTCAACTCTGACAAAAGTTATTTCATATAGAGCAACCTTCAAAAAGCTTGCTTGTTTGATTGCTGGGTTATACTGCCCAAATATTTGGTGCTATACTACAACAAGAATTTCTAGAAAAGTCCCAAATTCTTGCTCACTATTGCTAAATAAGATCCTATGAGCCATTGCCCTGATGCATTGTGCTAATTACAACTGACGTGGCCGATAGTTCAAGAGTCATTTAGAACACAACACTAAAAATAAGCGAAGTGACATGAGTGGACCACTGTATAGTTTAGTTATTGAGGATAGTACACAGGACTATGGCAAGTTTCTGTGGCAGATATTTTGATTGTTCAAGCATCCTAAGGAAGAGTTGAAGCATTTTCTTTGCTCTGAAAAAAGGCTAATTAGAGTAAAATTCCAATTCAGCTTTTTAAAAATTTGCTGTGGTGGTAAATCTGTTTTGAACAACAACTTCACCATCAAAACAAAGCAAGTCTGATTGGAGCTCTTCAAAATTTTTAAGTATGTCAGGAAGCTTACCTTGTCTCTTGTCTCATCAAGTGACATGCTCCTTGGTGGGCTTCTTCTGCCATCAGGCTCCTCATCAAATGATCTGACGCCATCTCGATATCCAGGTCTATCTGTTCGTTTGGGTGACTGCCCCAGCATGCCGTGCTGATTAGAATCACCAGCAACAGGTCTCAGCTCCACTCTCTCCTGCCTGTTGGAGAGGGCAGGTCCCACCCTTCCATTCATCATGGAGCTATCATGTATCTGGCTGTTTCTGCTGTCAGACTTTTGTTGCGCACCTTGACCATGCTGATCTGGAAACCTGTGAGGTACAACATTCTGCGCCTCAGGACTATATCCATTTCTAGAATCAGGCAAATGTTGCCTTCCTGACTGATCTAACACTGGACCTTTATCAACAGAGCTAGCCCTTGGCTTTCCTTGTTCCATAGGATGACCTGGTTGTGCAGGTCCATACTGCCCTCTAGAGGGGTCCAAAGGAGAGCCCTGTGGTTGATTTCCATAGGGCCCTCTTGGTTGCTGTTCTAATCTTGGCTCCTGTGGAGATGGTCCCATTCGCCCCCTTGTTTGGTCAGGCATACCATCTACTTTGCCCCTTCCTTGTTCTGGATATGGACCTTGCTGGGGTGTCCCTACATGGTTTCTAGGAGTACCTAGCCTAGGTGAGCTCATTGGACCTCTCATTGGATCAGGTCCCATTAAAGGAGAGCCAGTCGGGCCTTTAGGATGTTGATCCAGAGGAGGTCCTTGCCTTAGTGACCCTGACTGCATTTTTGCTGGATCAGGGCCCAAATTTAGGCGTGGCGAGCCTAACTGGCCTGGATGCTGAGGCTGGCCACCCTGTTGACCAGCTGGCATTCCATGACGTGGTTGCCCACCAACAATCATCCTAGGCCCCATCTGAGTCACTCCCGGTGGTGCACCTGCTCTTGGACTATGCTGGGGTCCCATGCGGTCACCAGGTCTTGGGCTACCTTGCACTGGGTGAGGGCCTCCTACATGATTTGGAGGGAAACTTCCTGGCTGTCTTGGCCTATTGTCCATTGATGGATGCCCAACAGCTGGTCCTCCTGGCCTTGGACCTAAATGGTTGCCAGGTTGGGAGCCAGGTGGAACCCCTCTTCCATGACCAGGTTTCCCATCAACCTGTCCTGGAAAGGGAACTCCAGGTTGGCTTCCAGGGGGTGCTGCTCTGCCATAACCACCTGCAGCTTGTTGTTGGGGTGCTGGAAATCTTGGCTGCTGATGAGGCCCTCTCATTCCAAAACCAGGTCTAGGTTGGTTTGGAGCAACAGCTCCCCTGGGACCCTGCTGCTGAGAAGCTGGCAGAGCTCCTCGTGCAGCAGGAGAGGTTCCTGGATGTCCCACTGGAGTAAAGCTTGAATTCTGTTGCTGAGGGGGAAAGTTGGGGTGCATTCCTGGTTGAGATACTGGACCATGCATTCCTCTACCGTGAGGTCCCCCTGGGGGAACACCAGGTCTGACACCTGGTCCCTGGGGTTGTTGAGGTTGTCCTGATCTAATTCCTTGAGCTTGACCGGGCACTGCCAGTCCTCTTCCTGCTCCTTGATTCATGGGGCCGGCCCTTTGCATGTTTGGCATTCCACCAGCAGCACGGCCATGAGGAGCATGATCTAACTCTTCATGTCCCTTGAATTTTACAACTTTTCGTCGTACTTTATTTTCATCTGGTCTGTACAACTCATCATCACTTAAGTAAGCAGGGCTCCCAGGGGGTGTCTCATGTAGTGAATCCACCTCCTCATCAGAAACTGATGGCCTGCGAAACCGATTTCGTTCACCATCCTTCCCTTTTGTCCTTCTCCCACTACCCCTTCCAGAATCAGATCTGTGTAAGGAACCTTGTCGCCTCATAGCTCGTTTATCTTCTTCTGTTGGAATTGCTCTAAACTCACTTAATTTTAAGTCAGAGTCATTGCTTGGTTTAGTTTCATTGGCAGTTATTGCAGGTCCAAACCAGTTACCAGTTTTAGTGAGCATCTCCTGCTTCTTCTGGCACACAAGACACACCCATGACACCTGAAATCAAAGAGTATTTGCCTCAGTCTCATTTCAAAGAACACTTTCACTGTCTTACTACATAACCCTCAACCCTTTCGTAAATTCTACCTTGGTATTATTCCACCAGTTCTTTTAATTCCAAAGGGTGCTTAATTGCAGCCCTTTTTTGCAGGATTCCTCTCTCTAGCAGATTTCTAAACTAATGGAGTAACACCAATTACACCAGATACTTCCTCATGTACCAATCCCAATAAGAGAGAGGAGTGGGGCTGCAATAAACAGTTTTAACCCAGTTAGCTTTACTTTCTATCTGGCCTAGCTTCAGAAAATCACAACCTCAACTACAAAATGCTTATCTTCAGCACTACAATGCATGTTACACCCAACTTATCAGTTTTTGGAAAATGATAATCATTAACATGTTTTCATATTAATCTGATATAGCCAGACTTCATGAGTCAAATGGCACCAGTAAGACTCAAGAACTCTATCACACTAACACCTCTTTCAGTTAATCCATGAAATAAATTCAACTTACCTTCTCACAGTTGAATTTTTCTACTTTATAATTTTTAAAATTTGTATAAAATCCTGAACATCTTACCATAAAGTATGTGAACTCCATTTACAACCCAGTTTAAGGTGAATGGTGATTTCATTCAAGCTTGGGTGACAAAATAATATTTGTCCCTTTCTAACTTTTAAAAAAATTCAAATGTTCATTTAAAATCTGAGCCAAAGCAAAAGTTAATAGAAAAAGTTAATTGTGAATGACATCAAAATTAAATAAAATGGCTTTAAAAAACATGCATGTCAATATTATAATTCATTTAATTATCATGAGCTATATAAGACTTACGTAAAACCTAGTAATTTACATTTATTATCGAGTTTGATTTATCATTTACTGCATATTGAAAAAAAGATATCTAGCATAACGTAAGCAGATTTTATCATAAAAATTGTTGGATTACATTTTTAAATTGTTTAATTTATCATTTATGATATGCCAATTATTTCAAATTATTGTACATTTTATTTAGTATTTGATCTAAACATGAGTGGTTTTATCTTTTAGGTAATTATAATTATGCTTATCCAAGGCCTGTTTTAATTTAATTTAATTTTAATTCATACTAATTATTCCACTTTATACAGATCATATGTTACCACATTAAAGACTAACTATCAACTAGTAACTAATTACTATTATAATATAAATTATGCAAATAAGCAAACATTTTTTAATCAACTCCTTCATAATTATTTAGTCATTTACAAAATGTTATATTTTTTAATTTTAAACAATTTTGAGCAGATGACATTCATTACAGTTTACTAAAATTATCATAATCATTAGTTCTTATCATTAGAAGAGAACGTTAAGGGAAAAACATGTTTGGCAACAAGTTCACATAACAAAGTCTTGCCACATGTAGTCTGAAAAAAAGTCACTGCAGCCTTGGGTGGGGACAAGTCACCCCAACACTACTGCTCCTGTGTTAAGGCAAATTTTGTGGAAATCTTTGTAGCTGTCAGTAACAGAATTTTGTTGCGTGGAGCTGATCCCAAATTCAAACCAATGTGATTCCAGCAAAAAAAAGATATTTAGGAAAATTCTTCATGTTAAGAAAGACAAATTGTTGCCGCAAACTGTTACTACATTATGTCACTGTGATTCCATCCTTAGTGTTCCTTGGTCTTAGATTTGTCTGTTGTATGCAACATTAACCTGTCATTTCATATCTCATGCCTTACTGTTCTTTATTATGTTAATTTAATGTTATTTACCCATTCATAAATTTATTTTTAAGAATGAAGTATCAAGTGAAACTCTTTAACAGGTACCTCTTCTTTCCAAAAATTAAAGATCATGTCAAGAAAAAGCCTGAATGTCATTACAAAACCAGCAGCTACCTGTGGTTCTGTATTCAAGTTTTTGGAGGTATTAGTAATACTTCAGTGTCAGGTTAAAACCTAATAAAGGAGTCCTGTAACTTAGTGTCCTCCTCTTAAGGGAGTAAAGTGTAAAATTTCCTGTCAATAGTAACTTTTATTGCTGCCTAAAATTGTATGGAATTGTTGAAAATTCAACTAGTAAAAGGATTGCCCTGGAGGATTGACATTTTCATTAGCTGTTGTTCTTAAAATAAGAGAGAAAACTGTCCCATTGACTAACATGTAGCTGTGTGGAAAATGAAAGGAAATAGCTGATAATAAATCTCAGATCTCAGTTAGAAACAATAAAACACTTGGGGGGAGGGTGATGATTGATGATTTTAAACTCAGCATCAATATTAATGAGCTCAACTATTCTCTATAAATTTACTTAATATCTGTAAACTAATTGATGACAAAAACACTTGGAAAGTTACACTGTGGCATCTCATTGAAACAAAAGGAACATTGACCTAGCAAAGTTTCAATTCCAAGATGTAGCTATAAAATTTATAGAGATTGTGGATAAACTTTTTGGTTGAAATATTTTATAAATTATGCATAACTTCTGTCACAACCTCAGTGAGCAAAACACAATAATTCAATTGCTACTTCAGAAGGAATTCTCAAACCAAAGCTTGTCAAACTAATTTTTGCATTATTCTGCGCGATCATGAAACGATATTTTTATTAAATCCAACTTTGTAGAGAAGAATAAAGATCTATGAGTCAGTTCAATCCTAGGATTAGGCTATAAAGTACATAAAAACACACACCAAAGCTTAGGAAAAGTAGATGAAATAATGAAGAAACTGTTATTTGGAAGAGTCAAATTATGAAGCAGATAAATTAACATGTATGTTGTTTTTGTAAGTGTTATTAGCATACCCATCTCTGAAATCTCTCAGTCCTGGTATGGAGAGGCCAGCAATCATTGTGGTTTAAATTTGATTATGCACTCCATACAAGCCCTTGAACAGAGTAATCTTAGTAGTCAAGAGGATATTAACATTTGAAAATGTATAGCATTCAGGACCCCAACTGTGGTTCAGGTGGATTGGATCATACAGAAATGTCAAACATTCCTTTCTTTAAATTCACAACAAGGAGATTTCACATTCACACAGCATGTAAAATTTACAATAAAATATTGTAGCCTAGCATGAACTGTAGAACATGCTTACTAAAAATCTCTTCACAGATGCCTCATTATTACAAGTTCCCATAAGTTCTTGTTCAGTGCAGCAATTTTCAAATATATTGAAGTTTTGCACTTTCATGCAGCTTTGACAAACACAACAAGAATACTTTCTGCACAAGATCACTTTCACTGCTTCTCCTGAAATTTTATGTAACATTCAGGAAAATTACTGAAGTTGAAACAAAAAGCTGTTTCGAGCATTGAACACCACCATCATATTACAGGAACACACTTCCAACAAATTTTTACAACAGCCTTGTTCCACATTTGGTCATTAACCCTTTCACTGAGATCTGATAGTTAATTCTCCCCTCTAGCTGCTACCTATTTCCTCGTAAATCAGTTATAAGAATTTAGTGTTAGATCAAGACAACAACTTCTACCTAGTAAGTTAGAGTTTTCTCAATACCTGATTGCAGGATAATGTATGGATATTATAGGGAGAAGTTCCATGTTAATCAGTTGTGGCAGTTAAAGTGTTAAAAGCACTTTTACCACAAATTCTAAGGCCTAGAAGAAAGCCCTGAAGTAAGTACAGAAAAAGAGAGTACCTTGGAAAGGTTGTACTGAAAAGAACTTTAAAATAAACACCAAAAGATGGATATGAGGAAATAGATTTTACACTAGAAATTCTTTGCCAAAGCATTCAGATTGTACACTTTGTAATTTCACATATTTTTGCTGTCGAATAAAATCAGATTAAATTCTAAGTTAAAGTAAAGAGGTTTGCCATTGCGCAAGGGCTTCTATAGCATATACATTGTATTAAATACAAACTGTGCATGAATCCAAATATTTTTTGAACTTGGGGATCTTGTCTTGACATAACACCTAATTCTTATAACTAAAATGCAAAAATGTATGATGGTCAATGATAAGAATTTAAAGATAAATCAAGAGACAGAAATTGTTTCAAACAAATCAATATTTTTTTCACAAGAGAGTCCAAATAAACCAACTCGAAGGGAAAACACTCTACAAGAAAACTTTTAGACTTGTACAAAAGTGTTCCACTGCCATCTGTGTAACACTGACACAAAGTAAACATTTTATACTCTAGACAATGAAAACCATTAATGGTTGCTTTTCCAGACAAAGCAATTTGAATAATGCATTCCCTAATTAGTGCACACTAAAGTGCAAAGGGAAACAATAATAATTACAATTTTTCACTGAAATTCTAAAGGTGTCACATGCCTTTATATTGTAAATTACATTGAGTCTCTTGCAAACCTATCTATTCATAAGAAATCTGTTCCATTAGTAGGCTTTGGTGCAAAGCTTTTCAAAGTAGGCTTTGGTGCAGGTTTACATTTCTGTGGTATTTACAATTGCTCAAAACTAAATCACTTTTAGTCTGCCTCTTTCAATTGACTAAAACAACAATTTCTTGGAAGGTTTTTTTTAATTCACTTGGTCTTAGTTTCCAAACAAAAAATGCCAAAATATCCTTGAACCCAAAACACATTGCATCTTCATCAGACAAAAACAATTTAAGGTGTTTTTCTAGTTAAGTTCAGTAGAACCCCCCCCCCCCCCCATGTGCTTCTTATGTACAGAGAAAGTCAGTAAGATACTCAGTAACACTGGTTTTCTAAACATTTTGTAATTTGAAAAGTAAACACAAAGTGATGAATAAACTTGAACAGACAAATTTTCTGCTAAAAATAAATTTCACAAATTGCAAAAATATAAAAAAAAAAAAACTATCGAAAGCTGTTTTTGCCACAAAACCTTTAAAATTTAGGGTATACATTCAAGAAATTGTTACTGGTGAGTAAATAATTGATGATATAGAAACACTAGCTTGCATACATCAAGTCACAGGCAGCAATCAGCAAAAAAAAAAAGTTACCAAGTGAGTAGTCAGCAATTATTGACAATACCCTAATTCATTTAAAACAGAAATATCTATTTCAATGCTCTCACCAATCCTTTACAAAGCAAATAAACAAGTGCTGATTAAAAAGCTGCATGGATGCTCTAGTTAACACATATTTACATATAGATTACAGGATTTCTATTCTCATGATAATTTCATAACACAAAAATAAACACTCCTGCACTGAGTTTACTCACAGGGTGCCAAAGGCAATTAACAGTCTTTAAATGGCTCCCACAGTGAACTGCTCAGTAAATAATGAAAAATGAAACTTATCGACTATTCACCTCTAGACAAACTGATGCAGGTCTAGAAAAAAATTAAGCTTCCTTCTAGATCTTAATTGTACATACACACACATACATACACCAGAATCCTGATTATCTTACATTTAGTTCATTTTAATTATTTTTTATAATACAAAAGTTTAAGTTTATGGTTATGTTTATGCTTTAATATCCAAACTCTTACAATACTGTCAAACAAGAACAGATGTATGCTATTCATGAGGATTCATGACATTTTCACATTTACACAGACTGACATGTATTGAATATTTTAAACATTTTAATATTTAAGGGGGTTTACCATGTGAAGCTAAAGAGTCTTTATTTAATGACCATTAATTCACTGTCAAGTGTATAGACTGAAGTTTAAGATCCATAGCAAAAGAGTTTTAATTTAACTGACAGATGCAGTTACTATAACAAAAGGGATTGTTAGGATCTGATGGAAGGTCATGTGCAGTGCCAATATAAGCAGTAATGCGTCAATAGGGTGGTTGAAATTAAAGGGAATGAACAAAATATGAAAAAGGCAGGTGCACACCAAAGTGGTATCAGTTCCAAAGAAGTTAAAGCGTGTTTTTCAACAAAACATATATGGCTCCATGATAATTTAATTTTAGAGCAATTACATTTTTTTCCTTTGGCATGATAATAAAAGAATTTATGAAGAATTTCAAAAGGGCAGTTTCAGAGAGCTACAGGACAGACTTGCAAGACAGGAGAGAATGTACAAAAGGACTTCAAGTCTGGGAAAAATTTATATAAAAAGTGGGGGAAGGAGTTGGAAGAAGTAATATTTCACAGATAGACTTGCCAAAAAAAATTGTGCATCATAGGCAAGCTTCACAAAAGAAAAAACCATCACAATTTCAGTTTAACAAGAATCAAGTGGTACAAAGCATTTCAAAGGAGATCATGGCTTGCAATTACAAAGTTTGAGTTAAGCACTCTAGGCATTAGATTGAATACAGACTAGAAAGATAACAGAATGAAAACAAAGGTAGCAGAGCAAGCTGAAACGTGGGGATGGGAATGAGGTGACTGAGACACCAAACTGAGAAAACAACCCAACTCAAATTATTTTCCAATATGTCCTTTGCACAGCTCAGTAGGAACAATGCACCTCTGGTCAATTGTGACAAAAGCCCAACAGGACAGTAATTGACTTGTGACAATGTGTGGGAAAGGAGTGTTTTTGGCAATTAGTCTTACATGAAGTCACCACGAAAAGATTTGTCACAATATTACAAGATTGAATTTTTTTCAGTGCCATTTTCAAGCAGACTGGTGATATTTTCAACGCAAAAATGTGTGAGGGTGTCAGAGGGGAGGGGGGGCACAACCCATAGATTATCCTTCAGAGCAACTCCATGACCTACGGATAAAGATCAAAGACCATCAAGACAAGAGACTGACAAAAGTATAGAGTGTTTACAGACCTCAGGACCCAGAGCAAGAGTCTTGAAGTCTTGTATCAAGTTCGTAAAGAGAGACAGGCCCTGTCCTTGCTGCAAGAAAGTTGAACAAGTTAATACACATTTTACAAACTAAGATCTGTGCAAATCAGAAGAAAGAGACACACAAGAGCCTAAAGGCTGAGTTGTACTAACAATAATGTCGGAAAGGCCAGAGACCTTTGGCTGAAAGAAAACAAACACAGACATCAAGGCAATTCAACATGCATGGTGGAAAGTAATATTATTCCAGGGATATATTAAGAGTTATTTCAAATTTACCATTATAAGTAAATAGACATGTATGCTTAAAGTAAATTACTTTACGTGGATTTTTAAATTATTGTTTGCCAAAGTGAGTATTTTGTGAGACAATTGTTATTTCTTACCTGAAGTTCATAAAATTTATTACATGTAGTAATTTTCCTCATATACAGTACAACTGTGTGATATTTTAATATCAAAGTCCTGAGAAAATTGTTAGTTCACAGCAAAATTGTTCATAAAAAACAAATTGTTAATATTTCTAACACTTGATGTACGTGTACATCTGTAACATAAAAACTGTCCGCCAAATAACCATGGTACAGTGTATATTAAACATTCAAGTTAATAGCAATTGTAATGTTAGAGGTAAGTTGAATTATCATCTAATATTATTAATAATATTAAGATTAATACCACCTGACTCAAATATCGATCAATAAATTTATATTACAATATGTGACTACAGAGATTATTGTATAGGGTATGAATCAATCAAACTTTCTGCAATGATGCTTGGACAGCTTAAATCAAAATCAAATTAAATGGAACTACAATGAACATGTAGGAGGCAAATGAAATGAAAAAGGAACAAAAATGAAATTGAAACAAGAGCTAAATGACAACTTCTCACAACTGCGAAACAAAGATCTACTGCACACAGTGTTCACCTTCTGACCCCTAAGAGTGACTAGTGTCTAATTTCTCCCCACAATATCAGCCCTGAATCAAACATATGGTCATGAGAATAAAGCAAACGATCACCAACTAAAGAAGCTTTTAATTGCTAAACAAATTTTCCATGTCAACATATTAGGAGATGTAGAGAGAACAGTATCAAGAAAATATATTCTGATGTTAGAGTGTAAAAAGGTCAACTGCCATCATTTAAGGATGCTTCTCAAGATCAACTTCAACCAGTGTAATCACTTTCAAGTTGTGAAATTTTACAAGATGACATGACAATTTCACCAATGACAGCAATTGCCTCATGAAGATTTAAGGTACATATAATTTTAAATGACTGCAACACACTGCTTTACCAATCAAACAATGATTCATTGAGATGCTTTATAGATTACGAGCATTTGTTATACCCTTCCCAGTTTGTATACAGTAAAGGGTATAAAAATCTTAATTTCTTCCAGATAACCTTGCCTTAATTTGTTCTTGGTTCCAGCCATTCAACCAATATCTCAGTCACAAAAACAAAAATCTTGGAAACAGACTGAACAACTTTTCTTCTCATATTGAATTTAGGGAACTATAGGCTTGGAACAAAGCTATCCTAATTGACCAGACCAGAGAAAAAGTGAAATAGTTACAAAATTTGAAAGCCTCTTTACTACTACTGCACATTAACTCTTTGCAGTGGAGTAAAAAAAAGGATTTTACTATTGAATTCATAACCACAGTGCTTTTTCATATAATTTTTCAAAATGTAAGAACATTTTTGCCCAGAGTGTGCACAGTGCTTGCATTTAAAACAAGGTTAAAACTTATTATAAGTATCAATTCATTCAGACCAGCTGAGCATATCTTAAAGCTTGGTAGCAAAACAAGAAGCAGGAAAAAAAAAATGCTTGCAAGAAAAACATTTGGCAGGTTTAAAGACATCAATATTTTTTAGGGAGTAATCAACCAGAATCTCAATTTATGAGACATTACCTTCTGAACAATTCCCATCAACACTTAAACCATAAATTAAGAAAACTGTTTTAACAGGTGCATTGCCAAAGTACCATGCCAAAACAAACACATTTCCAATATTACCATAGCCATCACAATTAAGAATGTTATTGCCAGAGGGAAGTTCATCTATAAGTTGTTCCTAAGCAGTGTCTCAAATTCTCGGCCGGCATTGTTTTAAAAAGGAAACATGTAGTCTAAACAAAAGTCGGTGTCTTTAATTTGTCAACTTGATGCAAAAAGAATTCAAGAATTTGAACAAAACCAGAAGAAGGATTATATAACTACAAGATGCAGAGTCAACACAACAAAATTTCCTTAATGAGATATGCAAAAAGATTGTTAAAATTTGGTGGCAATTTAGGCAAATGTTAAATTTTTTTTCATTCATAAACAGTCAAAAATAACCCCTATAGAGATCATACTATTGGCTTTGGGAATGTAAAATGAGAAAAATTTTATCAAAATGTTACCAAACAAAGAAAAAATAATATTTCAAATTTTAGTATGTTACAGTTTAAAGCATAATCTTGAATTATCATGAAAAACTTCAAATAGAAGTTCTTTGAAGTTGAAAGTTAATCAAAACCCACCATCAGATAAATTAATGCTAAAAGCATTTGGTCAGATGAAGAAACTGCCTTGGGGCAAAAGCAAGTTAACAGAATACTACTGACATAGCAATCGCTTAATTGACCAGCAAACAGTAACAATTTTAAAACTCCTCCATGCTTATAAACCATGTCATTGGAAATGCAACTCAGCAATAAAAGTCATAATAAAGAGATTTTTCTAGAAAAAGGCGCAAATAATTTTTGTGCCTCATCAAATTTCGAGAAAGAAATTCTTCACTTTTTAATTAATGTTTGGGTTAGTTTGAATTTTTAATAGACTCCAAGACGTAATTGCTATCATTTATCAGTCTTATAACAGTTGCAAATCTAGAACACCAAAATTTGGCAAGTTTTTTTTGCATGAGGAGATAACCTTGTTCACTCTTTGAATCAAGTGTCAGAGCTAAATTCTAACCACAAAAGAAGCAGTTGTGTCTAGCTTCACTGAAATAACCTTTGCCGTGAACTTTAGATCTTATCAATCCCTCTTAAATGCATTTTATATATGGCTTTGTTCTACGTCAGCAACACAGACGCATAACCACACCAACTGGTAGGTGTAATGCGAATAATAATTTCAAGTGCTAAACACATGATTGTAAGAGGTAAGATGAAAAAGCAAAGTAATTTGGAATAAGAACAAATATTGCGTAATTCATATCGCTGCATAAAAGTTTAAATTTTTGTTATTGTAATGGCAAGAGAGAGGATGAAAAAAGGAAATTACCCTGTGGTTTGGGTGACAAATAATAAGACCAGATATTTGGTTTCAATGTACTTCTGCATAATCAATGTGAAGCTACAATCTGTCAAAATACACTTTATTCTTCACAAAAACAAAAAGTATTCTTTAAACTTGCAAAATGCACAAGTTAGATCACAGCTTAAAGGGCTTTTCAGTCAGACAGGTTTTAAAAATCTGGCTAAAAACAAAAATAAAGGAAAAATCTTATGCTGAGTATTATGAATATTGATCACAATTTAATAATAGAGAGTAAACAAGATAATTTTTTTCCAAGTTTGAAAAGTGTACATTTGAAAATTTTCCAATACAGAATGTAGAGGGGCTGAGCAGTTATTTCAACCAGATCTTGACACAAGACAAATATAAATCAGTAAATTTAGCATTATTTACTCAAGGCAGGTTCTTTAAATACAATGCTTTATGAGGCCGGAATGTTTTGATCTAGTAATTATTCCAAACAGAGAATTTCCACTGTGAATACATGTACACTTTTAAAAAAAAAGAAAACATTGTTTTTAAAAAAATAATGCAGAAGTATTTGGAGTGGTTAAATTTTAGACATGTCATTTCATAAGCAAAATGTTTGCCAAAAAAAATGTTGGGTGGGTCTATAATATTCACCTGTACATCACAACTGGTGACAAGCATATTGGAAAAAAGTACTGTTCGAACATTTCACTATAAATTAAGCCATTTTCTACTCATTCCGATATAAAAAAGTAAACTTTTGAAGTACCCTATAATGTTAGCGTCCATGGGGATTTGCTAAAATGCCTAGAAACTTCCATATTCATAAAAAGTAATCCGCCAAGCAGAATTGGAACATAAAATAGTATGTGAAATGTAATACTCCGAGGAATGTTCCCGACACAACAGTCTGTAGCCCTTAAAAATAATCCGCAGGAAATTTTCACTACGGAGTTGTAATTGCAGATTACCATTTTAAAGTTTAAGCCACCGTGGGCAAATGATCGATGAAGCTTACCGATAAAATTGTTCAAGCTTCAGTGAATAAGAAATTATTTTAAAAGTAAATCTACAAAGTGGAAGTTTTTAAAAATACATGAGCAAGGAAGCCTCTAGCTGTCAACACTGTGTTTACTATCAGCTCTGCAAAACCCTTCAGCAAATGTTTTGGAAGATCTCGAGCCTTGAAATAAAATGTTAAAGTGTAAAATTGGAAGATTAAAGTTATACTTTGACTTACCGAAGTCTGAGTGGGCATCGATGCAAGAAATTGTCGAAGAATCCGATATGAAGGTGGGGAAAAAAAGTAGAAAAAAATATTCAGTTATTTTAATCTAAGCGAAATCGAGAACCACAAAGGTTATCCACTACTCATCAAAAAGATCCTACAGTCGTTTAAAATTATTTAAAAATAGAGAGAAAATGTGAATGACGCCTATGATAACAATAGTATCTTTTACACATTTCCCTACGTTGAAATCGCTTAAAAAATTTCATAAATTCACCTGTTTTGTTCCAGGAATAGTAACTTGAACTCCGCACCGCGCACAGACTTTGAGTTTACAATACTTGCACTCTTTTCCGGCACCATCAGTAAATTTTGTTTTGTGGCAAATTTCGCAAACATTGTCCTCCTTTAGAGCAGAATCCGCTTGTGCTTGACCACTCTTTCTTTCGACGCGATGTTGATAACTTTCCACCTCCTTCTGTAGAGATCTACAGCAGAAACATGCCAAAGTATAAACACTTGTTTAATTTCCAACCAAGCGTGAAAAAATAGCGAACTATGCAAGCTCAATATAATATAGTGACCAAACGAAGTTCAAACGATTACTTTTCGTAAAAGATATCATTTCTTCAAAGGAATAAAATTAAACACGCCGAGAAAAGCAGCATCAGCTATCGCCAACATGGCGTTATGTATAAATTTTAGTAGTGGGAATTTAGCTTACAGTTGCAACTGATTTGTCTCCTCTTCCATTTGTTTTTGTCGTTCCAATACGGACTGGATGATTTCCTTTTCCTCCTCGGTTAAATTCGAGAGATCTGGCGGCGGTGGAGACGCCGGTAATCGAAAACCAGCCATTTTCCTCATCCTAAACAAGGAACGTCAGGAGAAACCTTGAGCGAATTTGTGGGGATTCGCCTCAGAACGGCGAACAAGTCCACGCTAAACAGAAAGTTGAGCTCCTAAGATGCTGCAAATCGCTATCTAAGTTGATGCTCAAGCTTCCACGTTTCCACTTCCATCGTAATTTTTCATTCATTCTTTACAAAATTCTCTCCATGCCCAGCAAAAAATTATTGTTAAAACCACAACACTGCCTATATTCCGTGTAAAACTTGACATATATGCTAATTTTAGCACCGGCCGAATGGCGCAGAAATCGGTAATCTTCGGAGACTGTCGGTAATCTCCGGAAAACTAGTGCAAGTCACGAAGCAACGCGAAGTAGTAAAGTGCTCTTGAAACGTACGGAAAGGAAAGGATGATTCGCCGCGGCGTCCCGCAAATTCAACATTTTCGTGCATTAGATCAGTTTTACAGGAACATAACGTGACCGAAATTACGGGATTAATCTGGTTGGAAAACGTCTCTGGTAACTAGGCTACCCAAGGTTATCAAAAAAAGTTGCCTGCGAAATTGGAATTAACTTGATAATTGCTGCATTACTCAAGGTACTAGACGGTTTAGTTCAAAATTGACTTGTTTAAAACATTTGATCCAAAAAGTTAGCCATACAGTAATCCAAATATTGCGAAAATTATGTAAGAAAGCACCGCAAGAAATTTAGCGCCGAAGTCTTCTCTCTGTTAGCCATTAAAGGGTTTTACTTTACTTATCAACTTTGATTGACATTTTGTTAAGTGTCAGCACCTGCTCCATGGCTGAGTCACGCTATCAATACTGAGCTTCTGAAAACGGACTAATCAGAATGCTACATATACACTAGAGTAGGACTGGGGCGACTGAAGACCTTGGCCTCAGAGATACCGAGATTATGAGTACTTGGAAAGGCGAGACAAAGATAAACTTGTCAGCTACAAGGTCACACTGTGAATGTTTTTGCTTTCGGTACACGTTTTTGAAGAGACATGTTGTTGTTTAAGACTTCCCCGCGTCTTATGAACCAAAAAGAGACCATGTGCTATCTGTTTTAGTTAAACAGGGGACCACTCTTCATTTATCGGGAGAGGGGGGGAAGGGATCGGAGGAATTTTGGGGGGATGGGGATCACATTCTTTTCGGGGGGGAGGGGGGAATTACTACTACAGAGCCCTGAGGGAGGATCATGTAAATTATGGGCCAATTACCCGTGTGATTGGCTCCTGATATAATTTTTTTTTTCGTGGCAGAGAAACAGCAGAGAAACTAAACTGAGAAAACTTTTTTCTAACTTTAGAGTCCATTTAGGACTTAGTAATGCTTTAAACTTGGATTTTAGGGCAATGGCATACAAAATTATGTAAATTAACCTTTCGTGAACTCAGCGATACGTATAAGAAGCTTCTGCAGACTGTTGATCAATCTATCAATTCAAAAAGGTTTTTTATCCGTGTATGCGAAGGCTGAACGTACATCTCATCAAAACACTTAACAGCAAGTGCAGTTTTGCGAATCTGTCTAATTTGAGTTAATCAATTCAAGTCACGTTCATAGATGTTATGTCTTCGTTCAAAGCATTTTCATTATTTTCAATCAACTTGGTATGTCGGATATTATTTCTGTGTCACTAATCGAGCCCCTAATTAAGCCAAAATGCAAAAAGATTCTTATCTTGTGACGCTAGAGTTAAGTGATGCGTTTTTTTACAGTGTCATATATATATATATATATATATTTTGATCTTTCTAACGCAAAAGTAAGGTGTAGCAGATTGAATCGTTTCATTTCGCAGAGCTCTCTGAAAGGGGAGTCTCTACGGCCACCCTGGTATTTCACGTTGGCTTGTACTTTGAAGCTTTGCGCAGGGATCCAACTTTTGAATTTTCAGAAAGAAAAACAATTTGATGATTGCCTGTATTAAATTAATGCGATAGGTTTTTATCTCCAACTTGATTTTGGCGGATAAACCGAAAAAAAAAATCGTTACACGAGTGTCACTATTGTTAGGTTGGGGATAGAACGCTGTACCAGCTATTTTTGGCTCAGAGGAGAGGGGAACTTTGTCTTCAGTGAGGTGTCTTAATAGCATTTGAGGGAATACCACGTCGTAATGTCATTTGAGGTCATCGCTATTTTGGCAAGGGGGAGGAGTGACACGAGTGCCTCAGAATACCAACACCCCTCCCCTAAGCTGCTGTTTTGCTGGCCACAACACCTATGTACTGTCGAGTTCAGCTGATTTTGGATTCTGATATTTTTAAGTTTTATTTCGGTGATTTTGTCCCGCTGATATTTAATTAAATTAAAACATGGCCCATCCAAATTTTGTGACAAAAAGACAAATACAGAAAGGATTTATAATATAAACCATCACACCCACCCACTTCCCCGATTAATACAATCGAGGCCCAAAGAATTCATGATCAAAGATTTTCACTCCACCTAATCTATTTACACTCGTTATATCTCTAAAATTTACATTTCAGATTTCGTTCCTAAAATGTATCTGGAATGATACTTATTCTCTTAAAAATGAACAGACATCAGAGCTTACGGTGTGAATCACGAGTATGGCTTTGCTATTTTCTGCTCTCTGACGGATAGGGAAGATTAGAAATCTTAAATCCGAAAAGTTTTTAAAACTTTCACAAAGTAGCGCCCGCTGATTCCAGTCAGCGGCTATTCGTACATTTCATGTCACGGCAAATATTAGTTTTTTACATACGTATGATACAAATCTAAATTCGTTATTGATAGGATATAAAAACCCTTTTTTTTTTTCAAAATAGTATTCGCTAATAAATCCGTCGGCTATGTCTGACTCTGTGAGCTTCGAATGAACTCTTTACAATATTTCTAGAGTGTGCAAGGTATGAATTAACAACAGTCAGTTTTTTAATCAAAAGCATTCATTTTCACTGTCGACCATTTAGGCATCAGCTTCGAATGTTTGGCGCGAGAAGTCTGGGGAGGGTAAAAGATACTCTCTACGGAGGGATAAGGTGTCAGCCCTCCCCATGCCCAGCACTCAGAGTTGTTTTACCCTCTCCAGAGATCTCTTTTGGCAAATAAATCCAAACTACAGCCTAGCGATCGAATGTCACAACCCAATGGGTTTAACTTGGCGCCAAAATTTCCCAGGACTATTCACAGTCCTTTTCAGGCGTATATGACGCGACACTTGGCACGTGACCTCAAAAGGCACATTAAATTGCCACCATATTTGGCAAGTTGAGGTGCACTGTTTTTTTCTTAGCTTCTCTTCCAGTGAGATAATACGTAACCAACTGTCCTTTTCCTTTGACTTTTACAGGTCCACGGTAGATGAACTTAAAGCCCCTGTCTTTCAGAATCTCGTACGTCTGCTCTGTAACCTGCAAAAACAACAGCAAGTTCCTCTAAATCATTGAAGCCGCCACGCGAGTGTCGCAAGCAGGCTTTGACACGCGTGCGAAGTTCGCACGTTTCGAGACGGTCAGCGATGCGAGGTTTAAGAAGCTCAATGCCGCAGCGCTTTTGAGAGCCTCCTCGCAGACTGTGCAATTTATTGGTTATGGAAAAAAGTTTCGGTATATACATTTGCAGAAAAATAAACATATGTAAATGACATTTGAAAGGAAAGCTTCCTGGGGAAGCTAATCTGTTGAACTCCCGTTTTAATATTGTTGGGTAACGGTCTTCATCAAATCATCTTCGTTGGCAAAATTTTTCTTCAACAAGCTTTTCCCTTAAAATTTCTCGGCCCAATAGCTAGCAAGACAGTACTACACATTCGTAGCATCGGTGTTGAAATTTCTAAGTAGTGCTATGAAAAATTTTACTACTAAATTTTTACCATCTACCTTTTGCACCTCTCAACTAAGAAACAATACAAACCTGCATATAGCCAGCTTTTCCAGTACTTTCCATCCTGCTTGCAACATTTACCGTGTTGCCCCAAATGTCGTAGTGCGGCTTTTTGGCGCCAATTACTCCGGCTACAACAGGACCTTGACAGATTCCTTAAAAAAAAGAAAGGAAAATTGTTAATTGGAAATACCGAAGGTTTTGGAAACGGACTTTCACTTTCTCTTCGTTTGTCCAAGTAGGGCCACTCTCGACTTTTTTTACTTTCTATAAACTTACTAGGGAAACTAAATGCGATAACTCACCCACTCTTAGGACAAATTGATTGAAGCATTCTGCATTGATAGAATCCAGTTTGTCTCTTAAGGCAAGTGCAAAGTCCACAACCGTCACAACTTGTTCCCAGTTCTCGTTGTGTTGAGACTGAACATTGAAACAAAAAACCATTAATACCCGAATGTGAACAGTAATACCAGCTTTTCGTTCCATTAAAACTGGTACCAAAAATTAGACCGAAGATTTTCCGCGAAGACCCGCAATAGAATACTACAGAGCCTTTGGGGGATCAAATAAATTTTATTCTGACACAACAAAAATCCTTCTTTACAAGTTGAGGAGTTGAGTTGTAGTATGTTGGTCCTTGTTCTTTATCTTTTTACCTCACATTCTGGTTTGAGTCCTGCAGCCGCCATATAAGTGCTCTTGATCGTTTTGATTTTCTCAATACTTCGAAATCTTGCCTCTGCTAGAACCTGGAAAACAAATAAAAATTAAATAATATATCTTCAAATTCGATAAACTACCATTAACCCTTTCACACCCATGATCTCATCAGTAATTCTCTTTACTGTCTGCTATATATTTCTTAAGATGTTATTTTGGAGAATTTGGTGTTGGATCAACTTATAGTCCTTCAATTGTTATTTTTCTTTATTCTCATCACTTGCCTGATTGATATTGTATTGATATTGTAAGGAGAAATTCTGTCTTGGTCACTCCTGGGAGTTAAAGAGCTAAGTGAATGTCAGTGCAAAGGTCGTGAATTTCTTGTGTTACTATTAGTTTCACCATACCTCGTCAAAATCGTTTATGATTTCGTTCAAGAACCTAATGCATTCCTTTCCGCCATCGTTGATTTGATCTTCAGAGTAAAACTCGTCAAAGTTTGGAATCGAAGCAAACATGACAGTCACGTACTTGTACGACTGGCTGTACAGGTCCTGTCACGCAAAACAAAAGAAATATGTCATGCAACGATATGATTTCAACTTGACTTTGTTTCGTTACTATTAAAATATTTCGAGTTAAGGGCCCAATTTCATTCCAGTTCATGAGAGCTTTGAGTAAAGCTGAGACGTTTGGGATTTTTTCAACAGATCATGTAGAATTTGTCCATAAA